CATAATAGTGCAGACAATACCCTGCAGCACTCTTGGATCTTTTGAGTAGGTGCTATCAGGTGCCAAGAAGTCAAAGATGATTGCTATGCACTGGGTCATTCCAGTCCCGCCCCACGCTGTACAAACACAGTGATATAGTTTAGCAACACTACTTCTGTTAATGCAGTTGTAAAATAAATTGCAAATTGCAATGCATTTTGAAGCCATGCAGATTCAGACAATCCTAATGCACATACAGAATCCAGATTAGGGTTACATTTGCTACCGTGGCATTCTCGTGACAACTTCTGGTACATAAGTCATGTTTCCTTAATCAGAAAGAAATCGACCACGACTTAGCTGAGTAAATCAGCACCTACCAGATAATAAAAGCTAAATAAAGCAGATGACATTGCAGAGAATGACGTTCATGAGGTCTAGCATCAACACCAACAATAGCAATTATGTTTAGGGGAATTAACAAGCTATAGTAATCGAATAGAAACGTATACCAGAAACAAACAGGAAGTGACTACTGGGATTTGGCACTGTGAAATGTCACCATATGGAAGAGTTTAGAAACTTTCTGAAGGCTCAGCTCCTAAATGGCTGGTGTTATCCACTAAGAGCAATAAAAACACAGTGGGAATTTAATTAATTCACTTTTATTACTCCATAATGATTTAAGGTATCTAAAAAATAATATATAAAGACCTAAGATAAGATAATTCCAGTAATAACTCTTGCAATTTAGTTAAATAATACTATTACCTCCCCTAATTATAACATAGCCATAATTCAGAAATTCCCCCACATCATAGTAATTCCATGATTTAACAAGCAAACAAACAACACTAAATATTTTGGGTGAAGGAAGTGAAGACAGCATTCTCCTTGATGTGTTACAGGTGAGTTTCTCTCAATAACTAAACCTTATTTTCTCACATTTCCAAATTCATACTCCCTGCTCCAGAATGTCTGCTTTATCTAAAAACAAGCACAGGTGAGATACCCAATAGCAAATTGGAGAGAAAAACACACATCCAACATAGCTTTCCCATTAACAGCACATGGAGCCATTACAGTGGGAAGTCAGGTCAGCAATGAAAGTGCTATTTTCCATATCCACTTCCTAGCACAGAGTACTCAAGACATGAGCAGAAACTACCACCAGGCTCATCTCACTATTCTACTTCCAAGCATCCAGGCATCACTTCATCTATTTTCTCATGCTTGCCCCCAAGCTGGATAAAAAAAAAAACCAACACTGTCAGTTCTAATCTGAGCCTTCCTTTCTCAACAGGTTCCAGCTATAAACGACTAAAACAAGACCATCTTTGTGAGGAATGTACTTCGCACTACAGCAATTAACTTTAAAGAAAGTAGGACCCAGCTGATGACAGGCAGAGTTTTCATGCTGCAACCCCGAAGAAATGAAATCATCTGCTTTGTTTAAGAAAGGCACGAGCACTGACTGTTTTAACCAGCGTCTTTGAAAGTGAAGAAGCTGAATTTGATGCAGATGCAAGAGCTTTGCATGATTTAATTCCCCAGTACAACACTGCTGGTACATCATCATACACACTGCTTCAAAACTGAATACAGATTTTTAAATATCTTCACCGAAGATAAATAAATAAAACACATATATCATAGAATGGCTTGGGTTGAAAAGGACCATAAAATGACCATCTAGTTTCAACCCACCTGCTACAGGCAGGGTCACCAGCCACTAGATCGGGCTGCCCAGAGCCACATCCAGCCTGGCCTTGTCTTTTCCAAAAAACAATTTTACCAGGACACTTTTTACATACCAGATACTGAGGTCTCAGAGACAGGGAAAAACTGCCAGTAAACATCATGAAGTCAAGAATGGTTTCAACACTTCCCATTTGGGATTTCAGCCCTGAGCAGCTCAGACTTCACAGGGTACTTGCCACCTGTTTGTTCTGCTGCGTTTCCTCCGGGAACACATATGTGCTCCACAATTCAACAGCTTCCAGGACAAGGATGAAAGATGCTGTCTTTAGTCTCGTAGAAGTGCTAAATAATTTCAGTCCTGGCTCCTCTACTGCCACGGCATCACCCTATAAACAAGCATGCAGCTTGAGTGAACAGCTCCCAGACACAGGCAAGGTGTTGTCCCACTGAATACTTGTTTATTCCTCGTTTTGCAGAAACTAGAGCGTGCTGATCTTCAGGTTTTCTGTACCAGGGAAATAAATAGTGGCCATATTTCAGCACAAGGCAAGCCTTCCGTATACTCTAAAAACATGAGAAGTAAGTATGTGCAATTCACAAGTAGATCAAGACTAAAAGTTACAGAGATGTTCAGCCCTACCACCCATCCACTTCAAGTATCACAATGCTGTTAAAGCAGTTCCACTAAACTCAGCCAAGCCATTCACAGAGGAAGTTACTACTCAATGTGAGTAAGCAAAACTGGACTACAGATTTCTAAGCAGAGCAGTGAGCTTGTGATCAGCATATGAAAAGCAATGAACTTCAGTGTAATTACTTCTTCCAGTATAGTATTCTTTCCTTTCACTTTCCTTCCCATTCTGATTTTCGCCCGTGGTCAAGTAATCGTTTATTCAGATGTAAGAGCAAGAGGACGAGGCTTAAAAATACACTCTGAGCACTACAGGTGTTAGAAATCATCAAAACTGTGTTTATGCCAGGGAAAAGGTTTTGCTATTATACGTATGTTTGCTAAATCTTATTATATAGACGCTAGAAAAATCCACCACTGAAGGGCTCTGTCTGCAAAGAATCGCCATATGGGAGCTTTCACAAATGATCAACTGTACCAAAACATCTAAAAATAACATCTTCCTTAAGTAAAATAAAAACAATTGCCAGCAGAGACTTTCGGGTGCAGCTGCATGCTAAGGCATCAACGCCACACTGCTGAAATGTCTCGAGTAAGTATATAAGCAACCTCCAGAGAAAAACAGCACAGTGTTAAATGGCCCATGAACATCAATGATAAATGTAACGTGCATGTTTCAGGTTCTTTCAAAAGTCTATTCTTAGCTGTAAGACAAACCCCATCCACTTAATTAAAACCTTAGCTTACAAACACATTCACAGAGTAAGTGAAGCTTAACAAATCTAATTTGAATGAAAGGGACTGGCTGGGTGAAAGAGCAGCTCCCTGACGTTCCTTGCTCTCGTGGTTTCGTGTAACCACTGATCACCAACTACTGCAACAGCAAACATGAAACACCCTCAAACTAAATGGGAGTTGTCAGTCTAAATACAGCTACTTTTAAATAATGCATCCTGAGTTATAAAATAAAGTGCATCTGAATTATTGAACGCGGGTCTCATCCATAACACAGATGTATCACTTTTACTTAAATGAAAAGTTATTTATATTCTCAGTTGCATGTTACTGTAAATTTTAACAAGTAAAGCAACGTTTTATCATAGAATCATAGAACGGCCTGGGTTGAAAAGGACCACAATGATCATCTGGTTTCAACCCCCTGCTATGTGCAGGGTCACCAACCAGCAGACCAGGCTGCCCAGAGCCACATCCAGCCTGGTTTTAAATGCCTTCAGGGATGGGGCATCCACAGCCTCCTTGGGCAACCTGTTCCAGTGCGTCACCACCCTCTGAGTGAAAAACTTTCTCCTAATATCTAACCTCAACCTCCTCCGTCCAAGTTTAAAACCATTCCCTCTTGTAGTCAGCGTTTCCCATATAAATCCAATTCACAGAAATATAACTGGGATGCAAACTAAGATAAGAGAAAGTATCACATTCAGAATTGCCTTAAAAGAAGACCATCTTGACATTCATTTGCAGCCCTCAGTATCCCACCAAACCACAACGCTGGGTAAGAACTCACTGGGATCCCATGCCCACAAAACTGTTTCAAGAGAACAGAATCCTCACATCTTCTTTACACAAGCACCATCCGCTAAGGACAGCAAAGCCTTGCACACACCTAGCCCCAGCAGAGATGACACAGCACCAGTTCTGCCTTTTTGAAGATCACCACAGAGGAGTGATGTTAAAGCTGGAAGTTTGTATGCAACTTACAGCGCAGTGTAACAGCAGATAGGCCTGGCCGAAGGGTTATACTAGCAGGTAACATAAATCACAACTGCAAAGTTACATTTAGCAACAAAAGGCAGTGACAACAAGAAGGTTTTTGGAAAAAAGGGCTTAACACCTTACACATAAGCGAGATAATGCCAATGCTAAGCAACGAGTGCTTCTTGCAGAGAGGCACTTTGGCTGTAGTGTGTGGAGCTGAAGGGATGAAGGGCACAAACCCACACAAACACGATAGCAGATCCTCACAAACTTGGCTAGGCAAAGGGAGTAACACACGAGTCGTGGTGCAGAACCCAAGCCCTACGTGCCATCTGCCTGAGGATGACCTCAGCCGGGCTTTGTGCATCCATGGAACTTGGACCGTGTTTTGCAAGAGATCCTTCTACTTGGCTTAAGTCTCAGTAGAAAAGCAACCTTCAACACGTGCTCGCCGAAGTTCATTTTACAGGAAAAATCGTGATGCAAGTGCACCATCCATCACCAAGTTAAGCCAGCAATCCCACCGGGGCGGCTCCGCAGCCCGAGCTGGCCGAAAAAAACGCGCTGCCCCGAAACTTTGACAGCCGCTTTACAGACCCACAGCCACCGGCGGGGCCGCACAACTCCTCGCGGAGCTCCTCGGGGCCGGGGCAGGAGAAGCGAGCGGGGCCGGGCGGGATGCGGCTGAGGAAGAGGAGCAGAGGGAGGTTGCTTCCCCCACACCCAGGACGCGGGCAGGGCAGGGCGGCTGCCGGCTACGGGCAGGCGGCTTCCCCTCCGGCCCCGCCGCCCCGGGGGGCTTCCTGCCAGCGGGGACAGATGTGGACGCAGCAGCTGGCCGGGAGGAGGGGAGGGGAGGAAGGAAGAGGCACGGCTGCCTCCCCCTCAGCCGGGGGGCAGCGGGATGCGACCGCGGGCCGCGCCGTCGGGTGCCGGGGCGGAGGCGGCGGGCTCCTGTCCCCTCGCCCCTTACCTTGCTGCGGATCTGGCCCGAGGTGGACACTTTCCGGATGAGTTTCTGGGGGCCCTCGTGCTCCCCTTCGCTGTCCGACGACTCGTCCGCCGCCGCCGCCGCCGGGTGCTGGGGCTGCTGCTGGGGCTGCTGCTGGATCCCGGCGCCGCTCATCCCTGCCTCGGCCCCGGCCATCTTCCCGGACTCCTGCCGAGAGAGAGCACACGAGCCCGGCTCAGCCCGGGCAGCCGCTGCCGCTCCCCTCCCCGGGGAGGAGGGAGGAGGCGGCCGCGAGAGGGTGGGGAAAGGGGCGGCGCGGGGGGGAGGGACGGAGGCGAGGAAGAGCCGGGCGCTGGTGGGGCCGACCGCTTGGCCGCCATCTTCCGCCGCCCCCTCCGACGGCCCGGCCCGCCGGCAGCCGTTCCCGGCTCGGAACGGGCAGGTCCGGCCCCCGAGCCCTCATCGCCGCGGGGAGCGCCGAGCGCGGCTTAGGATGGAGCGGGCGGGCGGCGAGAGCTGAGGGGCCGAGCGGGCGGCATCCCCGGGGACGCGGAGGGGAACGGGCCCCAGCCCGCAGCCACGCGTGGGCACTGTGCGGGGGGCTCAGCCCAGCGGCCTGGCACGGGGATGGGGCACCTGTGCAGGTGCAGAGGGGAGGTGTGCGGCTGTGCTCCGCGCGTCCGGCACTTAAAAGCAAGAAGGCAGCGTGCCTAACGGGATGCATCGACTCGAAACGGGACGTGGTTGTTCTCCCACATCCGTTTAATTTTTGTATTGCTTTGCTCGAAGTTATTGTCTTCACATAAGAGCGGTCCTCTGGTGGCTTTTCCCTTCTCGTCGCAGATCTGGCAGCTCCCGTGATCTCGAAATGTCACCACATGTTCTGAATTGTGGGGCTCTGAAATGACTGTGGCTTTGCGTGTAGTCAGTGTTCCAAATAAGCATTCAGTCTCAGCAATACCAAATAAAACACACGGCTCCCAACTGCACGGAGTGGATTAAAGATGAGAAAGCGACCAATACTTGCGGCTTCTCTGTTCCCACAATTCTATTTATATTTCTTAAAAGGGAACTTCCATCTCTCAATGAGCTAATACAAGTGCCCCAGTACCGAAATACAGAGCAACAAATGAGAAACAAAAGCGAAACCATAACACAGAGCGCATCCTATGCTGTGAATACCGTGCTGTGAGCTGGATTTCATACACTGGAATATCCTATTTCCTTCATTGGGACTTTCATTTGCAGTAGGTGAAATGAAAGATCTGCATGAAGCCACACAGGTGTTGTATCCCACATAAGTGTCACCAAATCAGGCACTTCCATGAGGTTCTACTGCTCTTCTCTATGTAGGATCACTTCTTTTAGGGTATGTTTTAAAGGAATTGTGAGTACCTGTGTTTCTTATTACAGTAATAACTGGGCCTAAGTCCTGCCACCAGTACCACATCTGAAACTAGATGAAGTTCTCACGTAGCTCCTTTTCCTCACTCGTCTCGTTCTTTCCCTGAAAGAGTTCTGCCTCAAAAATGTAAGATAAAACTTGGGCAAGAGCAAGTGTGCACTGAATTCACTTAGGACACAGATAAGAGCAAGAGAGAAGCTTACAGACACTTTGTCACCCCTTCCTTCCTCTTCCTCCTCCCCAGCAACTTCAGAACAACAAATTACCCCAGAACATGGCTCACAGCTAGCAGAGCTTTCTGAAGGTAAATGACAACTGAATACTGCAACTAGGTGACAAGACAGTGTGCTAATTAATGCTAATGCAGTTTGCATAGGGCTGGGACTGCGATTTGAGGAACATTGGGTGCTAACAGAATACAACGCTTGCTGACTCCATTTAATTCAACTGAATTAAGCAGCGCTTAGATGAACAACACTATTACTGTTAAATTTGTTCCCATGCTAAAAAAGCATTCAAAATATCAGTACATGTGACAGCTGTGTCTCTACCACATGACTGGGATCCTGTGCAAAGCTGAGTGCAAAACTGTTTACAAGCAGGCGTTTCACCCACCTTCCAGAATTAAGGTGAAAAGGAGAAACATTATTTGCAGCTCCGGATGAACGCCTTTGAATTTAGGGAGGTCACAAAGTTGGCTCAATTGGTGACCTGAGGTTTGCACGTTGGGAGATTTTTTTTTCTAAAGCATAAAATGTAACTTGTCTGCTGCAGATCTCCTTAGGTATCTGCATAGACAGCTCAGGTTTCCTTCACTGTGCTTCACTTCAAATGCTGTTCAATGAGTGGTTGTAGGTGAAATGGGCAATGCGAATGGACGATAAACATGGCTCTCCAGCTTCTGTTCACATTCAGAGCTTAACTATGAGCCCTAGCTCCTGCACAGTGCATCATGCAAAGCGTGTCATCCATCCCCACATGGACGTCCCCATTGCCATCCTCCTCTTCACTGGCTGCCCAAACCCAAAAAACACTGAATCATGGAATGGGCTTAGGTTAGAAGGAACCTTAAAGGCCATCCAGTTCCAGTGACAAGGGAGAGGGCACCGGGTGCTTGTCACTTTGACTCAGATCTCTTCCACTTTGTCTTGATTCAGAACTGAAACACTAAAAGTGTTTTCTCACTTAAGGCGGAGAGTTCAGTGGGAGCAACAGTACTCAGCAAATAACAAATGCCCCCCAAGTACAGTCTGAGGTGAATACGGGATCTACAAAGTACGCATTTGTAAAATCATAAGTGCTAAAATCCACCACCATCTAAAGTTTTCAGTGTTCCTCAAAACAGAGAAAACCAAACGAGTTTGGTGTTAACACCAGCCAAACGCTGTGCTGTATAAAGTATAAAAGAGTTATTCATTTGCAGTCATGCATAAAGTTGTTATACATATTTTCCATGCACAAGGAAAGTTTTCAAGTTCTCAGTGCTCCTCACTTGTTCTGTTTTTCAAAGGAGTTAAAACATGCTTATGATCCAGCTCTGGTCTTTGCCCAGGTAATGCTGCCTGAGGTGTCGCTGGGACTTCCTTTGGATGAGGACTGCCAGCTGACTCTATCTTTACATCTTACCCAACTGGCTGAAGCCAGACTTAATATGAGAAGCACCTTATAGCAGATTTCATCTTGAAGAACACAGGTATGGATGCCGTGGTATGAGTGGCACCACTGAAATCCTCCAGACTAATCCTCCAGTCAGGCTCCTGAAGAGCACATGTGATATGTGTGTGAATTATGTCTTTCACATACTCAATTTCACATTTCTTAATAATTCCCTTAAATTGCTTCATAAAGGAAGCTGGTGGAAAGAGTAAAGAAAGGTTGGCACTGAAAGAGAGATTCTCAACTGACACAAAACAGCCCCACTGACATCATTTGTGTCACGGCAATTAACATCAGCTGATGGTCTGCCCTTTATATTCAAAGAATTCCAAAGTGCTGGGTAAATATGTGCACTGTAAGAATCTTTCCACCAAACAGCTTCCAGTGCTGATAACAGAGTACACATCACTAAAAAGCATATGCGAGGTACCAAAAACCCAAATACACACTCCAGCTGCTCTGCAGATTATGGCTTATAATGCAGATTAACGCATCATTTGATTCCAGGAACAGAAATGCTTCCAGCTCTAATATTGATTCCCACCATAATAGGCGTATTTACCTCTTTTTCTCTAGGTCACTTTGGCATCTGTCAGCTGGAGGATAAGAAGTTTTTCTCCCCCACCTCAAAAGGTGAAGGTAAGGCTGGGGTCCCATATGAGATGTGGAAGAAAGGTATAGGACTCTGTAGCCTAGATTGCGTGTGTCTGGAGTGCAGTGCCCCTGAATGTCCCTTTGAAAGGCAGAGGATGAGCCTGATGCTGATACTTCTGTTTGGCTCTTACTGAAGTGGGAAGATGTTCTCCATTCAACAGTGAGCTGGGAATTAAGGTCAGGATTTTATAGATATCCTAAATTTCACATGGTCAAGCTCAGCCCTGACAGCACTCCTCACCAACACCTGACAACTCACAGAGGTAATCACTGTGCACAGATTCCAAACCTGCAATGGTTTCTCTCACCCTGTTGCTCCTTTTCTATGTTAAGGGAGAGAAGGACAGTTCTGGGCACATTTTTCCTACCCCATGCAGTTCCTCATCTAAATCTCCCTTTGTCCTTATTTCTAGACAAAGCCCATGTCGAAGAAGGTGATTGATATGATCTATATGAAGAAGAACGATGTAGTTTTGCCTCAAAGATGCAGTGTTTTACCAGCAGGTTACCAGGTAGAGGACTGAGTGCTTGGACTGAAATTGGAGACTTGTAGAAGGAAACGAATGCAGTGGTTAGCCTTAAAACTGCATTCATGTGTGTACCCTGAACAAATGCAGACACAGAATGATAAACATGACCCAAATCCGCTCCTTTATGGGGGGGGAAAAGGGGGGGGGACGAAGAAAGGAAGTTCTCTGTGTTTATCTGCACCCAGAAGGGAGCAGGCTGGGCTGCTCCAGCCATACGGAGGGGCTGCTATCTGTCTGCCTCCTGACTTTCAGCTGAGTTTGGCAGCCAATGTAAATGTCACTGTTCAGTAGGACAACACGTTCAGGGGAACGGGATTCGCTGTTTTCCTCCCACAGCATTTTCATCTCTCCAGGCAAAATCTAGGGTCTGCCTTTGTGCGCTGTCTGTGGATGTCAGCTCCATGTTGCTGGAACGTCTCGCATCCAGCTGTGCTCCCTATCACAGCTGCATCTGCGGCCACGTCTTCAGCTGAGGACCACGGAGGGCAGCAAAGGGTTCAACTTCACGAAAAGAAAACGAGGCCAGTCAAAAACGTATTTGGGAATGTACAGGGTTGCAAATCCTGGTAGGGTGGCAGCAGGTCAACAGCAGGTATCTCCAGGGAGATTCCTGGGAGTGTGCAGACTGGGACAGGCAAAGTGTGGCTCTCCCACTCCACTGTTAAAAAATGCCTTTAGAAATAGAACCAGAGGCTGCACCCGTGCAGGCTGGCAAAAAAAAAAAAAGAAAAAAAGAAAAGAAAAAAAAAGGCACAGCCACCTGAAGGGAAGCGTGGCCGTGTTACGGGTGCATGCTTCCATCGCCCCACAGAGTTCATGGCCAGGGACAGCCCAGCCCTGACCTCTCGGGCAGCCCGAGACCTCAAGAGCGGCGACCCAGGGGCTATTAATAGCCCTCCCCGTCCGCCGTGCGTGTGCGTGTGTTTGCACAATGGAGAAAAGCCCTACGGCGGGATGCCGACAGGGGAAATCTGATGTTATCGCCGGCGGAGGATGCCGGTGACACGATTTCCTTCGCTGGGAGGAGAGTCTCCCAGCGGCTTCAGCATACCGAAGCGGCAGCCCTTCTAGGGGAACCCACTCTGGAGGCACCCGAACCCCGGCTCGGCTCCACCACGGGGAGAGCTTGGAGGCGATTCCCAGCCCGGCTGCGGAAATTAAATAGGAACAAATAACAATAGGAAAAGTCTATCTCCCTGGAAGAGTATCTCTCCCGTTCTCCGGACGCTACGGCGGCATTCCGTACCCCCATCCCGTTCCGCTCCTCTCGGCAAAGTTGGCGGCGGGGCTCCGAGTGCCGCTCAGGTCAGGACGCCCAACTCCGGCCCCGGGGACGCGCCGCGGGATGACAGCCCGAACCGCACAGCAGGGAGCAGGAAGGAAAGGAGGAAATGCCCGCGCGCGGCGAGGCACGCATGTACCTACCAGCTCCTCCCAGGCGGGGCTGCGGCCGCTGTAAGACGGCTCCCCGTGCTCCTCCATCGCCCGACCTTCGGCCCACGGAGCCGAGCGCGTTCCACCGCCTCCTCCTTCTTTCCCTCCCTCCCTCCGCCGCTCGGGAGCGTAGCGCTTCCCCACGCCGCTCTTCCTTCCCTCCACCCCCTGCCGCTCCTCCCTTTTCTCCCCCTGCCCGCTCCGGGCCCCCTCCTCCCTCCCCGCCCGGCTTCGCTCCCTCCCCCGTCTCCCGGGGGTCTAACCGAGCTGCCCCCCCTCCACACCCCGGCACCGCGCCCCTTTCCCCGGGCCGTGCCGGGGATTACGCGCAAATCGCCTCGGCCTTAAGCCTGTTTGCGGCCGCTCGGGCTGTCGGGGAGCTCCCGGGGAGTGCGGACGGCCCTTCACGCCGCTTCCCAGCTGCCGCGGACCGCACCGGCCCGCGACCCCCGGCCCTCATCGAACGAGCTTCGAGCTCTCTACCCTCGCAGGAGGGGCCCGAGGAGGTGAGAGCATAAGGGGCAGCCCTACTGAGCAACCCCTTATTGGGGGATCTGGGCGCAGCAGCTGGTCCCGAGTGTAGGGCAAGGACTGCGACGTAGTCCTTCGAGGCATGGGTCGGGACGCGATCCGTGGCTGGGACGTGGGCTGGGACATGGGCCCTGCATTAAAGGCAGAGCAAAGGTGGACACCGTGTGCATCCATTTCTGGGGGCACCACGCCTTAAGGAGCAGCACATTTCTCTGCCCTCCAACCAAGCCTTTTATTAACATACAGTGTTCACTTGGAGGCTTCTCAGTTTACGAGTTACCAGCATACCCTTGAACACCAGCCAGCGTCTCATGGCTCTTCAAGTGGATCTCGTGTCTCCTACAAACTCAACACTTTCACTGATTATTTTTTTTTCCTCTTGCTGTACAGTAGGGTATGTGAAAGAGCAGAATTTCAGAGGAGATAGGAAAAGAAGCTCCATCACCATGTGAAGCCACACTGTTCTTTTCTCCAGCTTTTCTGTGTTACTTTCATTCCAGCCCTCCCTTTTGAGTTCGCAGCTGCCAGGTTTGATCTCAGAAAGCAACCTTTGGGTTGTCTACTTGGTAAGTGCAAACATCGAGTTGGAATTCACAAGAACAGAAGAAAGGAAATTGCATTGCTGATATTTAAAGATACGTTCATTTTCTTTGTGGTTTTAGGCTTTCATGCAGAGCATTGGGATACTGCAAACTGAGAGTAGGTTACAAAAAGTAGCGTGTGTACTATTGCCTCTCCTGCCCTCCCACTCAATAAAAAGGTGAAATGCCTTCTGTATTTTACTAAGCCTACAGAGTATCTTACTAAGTTAAAATGGTCCACCACTAACTCGAGCCCAAAGAAGTGCTGCAGTGGCATAGATCATCGGGGGACTGAAACTGCTGCAGCTCTTCCAGCGGTAGAAAAATGAACGATTTTTGTTGAATGTAAGTTTATGAGTGGTCTGTTGATGAATTGCTTTTGCTGTAAGGCTGTAACCTCAGAAGGGAGCAAACCAGATGACTGACAGCCGGTTACTTTTTTGATGATGGTGAGAAATTGCATGTGGTTGTCCAAGGATGTCTGGTCTCCTTCCTTTTACCCCCAGGTGAGAGACACTGCTAAGGAATGCCATCCTACAAAGGGCTGTAGACTAAGAATTGGTGTCAGAGTCATATTAGCTCCTCTACTTACCACGTGATGCACTGAAGGACCACACATGACTGCTGTTTTGTACCCTTTGACATCATCCAGCCTCTTTAGCCATGGCCATGCTTTGTGGCAGAAGTGGTCTGCTATTAAGTATTTGTCATCCTTGTACCTTGCTGAACCACAAAAACCAAAAACAAGAAACAAGACTCTTATTTAAGTTACTTCTTCAGATCCAGCCCTACACATATTCTGCTACCTTGAAGTTCAAACAGGTTCTTGGTGTCCCTTTTGCACCATTTTTTTGTTTCATATGCCCTAAATCTTACAGCTGTGACTAGATAGATACACAATTTTGTTCACCTCATTTCATCCCCTGGAGTTCAAAACTTGGTTTCCATTAGTGGAAAGCTAGTATAGGCCCCCGAAGAATACAACAACCTACTTAAGCTTAAGGTGTGTTTCAAGGTCGTGTTGGATAAGGAGGAAAGAAATCAGCTCCTACTAGCTAATGAAAACTGCAATGTCATTTCAGATCAGACCTGCCAGTTTGGGCTCCAAAATGCCAAATTTGTTTTTTCACTTCTTTCTGTTCAGGGGATGGATTCAAACCTGCTGACAAGCCTGCCCTTAGTGATTTCCCCTCATGTGAGCTTTTCTCACCCTATCTGAGAGCCCCATTTTACAGAGACCAAGGTCTGTGAACTGTTTGACAGAACTAATGGAAAATCACAGGCCGAGTACTCCTCCAAAAAATGTAATTCTGTCAAAGCAGACATGGAATTTGAGGACAAGTGTCAAAACCACAGGATTTTTTAATTTTATTTTGATTTTATTTTATTTTTTTTTTTTTAGGGGCATGCTGCTATGTTTTCAGAGGGGCAAGAGAACTGAAGACAAGGGAACTTAGGTCGAGGAGGTGCTGCCCACTAAAATAAACCGTGGCACCTGTCCCCTGGAGGAAGGGGGGTGGTGGTTTGGGAGGAAACCTTCCCAGAGGTCTACGGTTCAACCAGATGGTTGAATGGCCTTTTCCTACCTTAACGATTCTATGAGTCCATAATTCAGAGAGCGATCTTCACAGCTGGCCTGGGAGCAGGAAGTGAGCATATAGCTGATCTGCCAAACTGCATCAAAACATCTCCAACGCAGCCTGGGGGTTTGTTTCATTTCATCCTGTTTTTTTGACTTCGTTCCAAGTTGTGTTTCTGTGTGTTGTTTTTATTTTCTTTTCCTTCAAGTTTTTTTGCACTTAGTCTAGACGTTTGGGTTTGAATTTCTCAGTAGTCCGCTGTATATGCTGCGTTCAAAGATGTCTCATATCCTTCTGTCTCTTCTGTTCCCTGCCCTTAATGACTCAGTGAGAACTGGATCAACAAAGCGAACGCTTCATTACTGACTTTTGTTTTTAACATGAAACGCATTGAAAATAGTAACACATGCCTGCTTTCTCTAAGCAAAATATTTTGGCTGTGTTGGACATGCTGAAACATACAGATTTTGAAATCAGTGCAAATGTTGTGTTTAGACATTCACAAGAAAACCCCCATCTCTTGAAGTATTTCCATTCTTCATGGGGAAAAGAAAAAAAAAAAATTTCAATTGAAGAACTTGTCATTTTCTCTCCCTAAATTGAGGCAGAAAGACCTTAAAACAATGATTTTTTCATGGTTTTTTTTTCCTGCATGTTTTTGCCAGCATTGCCTTTAGCGTGTACCACATAAAGAATATATGCTAATGTTCATCAACTGATGCTAGCATCAAATTTCCTTCTTTTCTTGGCACATAACACACACGCCTACTTTGAGTAAATTCTTCAAGGAAATGTTGCTCATTCTCCTCATAGGAGATATGCCAGTTGGATTCTTTTCTGTTAAGCAATTTTGGATAACATCCAAAGGTAAGGTTTGATCAACGTGGTAACTGGGTAGTTCCTGCCAGACAGATAGGTGCTAATAACAGCCCACAGGAAATGGATTACAAGCAGAGAAAAAAGCACTTAGTTTTCAACCCTTCAGATAGAGCCAAAGTGACACAGCGGGTTAAGAAACACATTTAAAACTAAAGGTATATTTTATTATTGGCAAAATCCTGATACCTGTCTTGAAGCCCACTGCTTTCTCTTTGCGAGGGCGTTCAGACAAAATGCTGTAGAAGTTCTGGATTTCTCCCACTTCGCAGTGTCTGTTGCTTGGGAATATTTCATGCTAGGAACCTGAAAAAATGCTTTCGCCCACACTTCCTTCACAGACTTTTTCCACCTTGTGCTTTTTCTTGTTATTATTATTCCTCTTGTTACTGTAATTGCTGCTTCTGTGTGTATCTGTACAAGACAGGACGCTTTTAAACAGTTCCCCAGTGTTTTCGGTGTCACAAGGTGGAAGTTATTAATGCAGCTGGCAGGAATGTGTCTATTGCCTTAGGGAAGGGCTGCAGGAAGAAATCTCAGGCAGAAGAAAGCCCTGCCCTCGGAAAAGCATTTTAGTGAAGGACCAGCAGAGGTATGGAGGGACAATCCACCTGCCACTTCATTGCCTTCTTCTCATTTTATTTCCCCTTCTCAGTATTTTTTTGCAGATGCTAGCATCTCCTACTTGCTTTGTGGTTCTATTGACTTTATTCAGAGATATCTAGCAGGAGGTTGATGTGTTTCTCATTCAGTATTATCAGGTGCATTAGGAAAAGTGTTAACACCAGGTTGCATGTTTACGGCCTCAAGTTGTGCCAGGAGAGATTCAGATTGGACGTTAGGAAAAATTTCTTCTTCAAAGGTGTGGCTAGATGTTGGAATGGGCTGCCCAATGGTGGAGTCACCCTCCCTGGAGGCGTTCAAAAAACATTTAGATGTCGTACTGAGGGACATGGTTTAGTGGGGAAATACTGGTGGTAGGTGGACGGTTGGACTGATGATTTTGGAGGTTTTTTCCAACCTTGATGATTTCATGATTCTGTCATTGAAGAGAGACAATCTTTCCCTTCTAGTCAACACTGGTGAGGATGCACTTCGTGTTCTGGGTCCCTCAGACATGCATGGACGTACTGAAGAGTGTTCAAGAGAAGGACACCAAAATGGCAAGTGCCAGGAGTACTCCTGCTATGAGGAAGGGCTGAGAGAGCCAGGGCTGCTCGGCTGGAGAAGAGGGGATGTCATCAATGTCCATAAATGTCTGAAGGAAAGGTGCCAAGAGGCTACAGCCAGGCTCTGTCAGTGGTGCCCGGTGCCAGACCCAGAGGCCATGGGCACAAACTGGAGCACAGAAGGTTCCCTCTGAACACCAGGAGCCCTCCTGTGTTGTGCATTGGCAGAGCACTGGCACAGGCTGCACAGAGGCTGTGGGGTCTCTGCCTTGGGGATCTCCCAAAGCTGCCTGGACGTGGCCCTGGGCACCCTGCTCTGGGTGTCCCTACAAGGGCTGGAGCAGAGGGACCCAGAAGTCCTGCTAGCCTCAGCTGTGCTGCAGTTCTGTGATCCTGTAATTCCACCCCTTTGACTCCCTGAAAATCAGCAGATAAAAAACACATTGAAGCGTGGACAGCTGCAGGTGGTGATTTATTCAACTGCCACTGACATTCACTAATTACTCTACTGGTGGCACTGTTTTTGGACATGATAACTTAAGTGAAGTGAGTAGAATCACTTGTGTTCATATTAATACATTGTTGATTCAAGGTTTTCCACAAATGATTTCATAAAAATACCACTGGAAAGGTATAAGAATGTCCATATGAAAATGAGAAGTCGTTCTCTCCATCCTTGTAGCCAAGGCAGCTCCAACTGCATCTGTACCATCCTGAAGTGGCATTGCCTGTTCAAACATTCACAACTGAGACTTTCTGTCCTTCTGGAGAATGTAATCAGTGAACGACTTAAATCTGCAGGGCTGAAATTTTCATCTCATTCCTGTGAATACAGAAAAGGGCCCATTCCTTGCCTCTTTATTAATAATTCTGTGGGCCTCTTGAGGCTACTATGACACATTTCTTCCCTGGAGAAAACCACCCCCATTCTCCTCTCACCACTGAACTCCCAGTGTATGCTTCCAGAGCTGACACCTGTGTCTCACTTGACTTGAGAGTTTCATGGGATCATTATCCAGCTCAGTCCTCCCATTTAATCTCTTAAACCTGAGTGGGCTTGCAGGTGTAATTACCATGAATTATGACTGGTCATCCTTACTGCTGATAGGGATGTTGAACCATTCCTCCAGTTCACATGTGAGCCAGAACTAACCCTAATCAGTTGTCATCTGTTCCGTGAGTTCTTTGGAATACTTCAGGTGAAACATGGGTTCCTGGGAAAATGGCACATCATTATCAAAAGCTTTTGTAAATTGATGTACACAGTGAGTAGCCAATCTACTGGTCTGTTCCGTCATCACAGAAAGAAGTTGGGTTAGTTTGACTTTATTTGTCCTTCAACAAGCCATGTTTGCTGTTCCTTTCCATGTTGTAAGTACTCACGAACATTTTATTTTCATTTCAAGGAGTGCTGAAGCTTATTTAATGGATCAGTTCTTCCTTTTGCTCCTATTTTTTAAGTTTCACTTCACGATACAAGAACAACAAGCTGAAAGGAGGTAATAGCGAGGTGGAAGTTGGCCTCTTCTCCCAGGTAACAGCAATAGGATGAGAGATAATGTCCTTGGGTTGCACCAGGGGAAGTTCAGGTTGGGTATTAGGAAGAATTTCTTCTCAGAAATAGTGGTGAGGCGTTGGAACAGGCTGCACAGGGATGTGGTGGAGTCGAAGTCTGTGGAGGTGTTCAAGAACCATGTAAATGTGGCACTGAGGGATGTGGTCAGTGGGAATGGTGCAGATTGACTGTTGGTTGGACTAGATGATATTAGAGATCTTCTCCAGCCTTAATGGTTCTAGGGTTCTATTCTGTTCCATTCTTAGAACTGATTAAACACAAGCAGTATCTTCTCATCTCTACCAATGAGCCCATCACCACAAACAAGGTTTTGTATTTGTGGTTACAGAGTTTGGGAAGCCTGGCTCAAATGTCAGCATTTCCTTCTGTCAGTTCATTCAGATTCAGCAGATGCATCTTTCTGATAAACATTTATTCTAAAAGAAAGAGAAAACAGAAACAAATAGCAAATCATGCCAGTTGACAAAGGTGATACTTTAAAGTCGCATCTAAATTAATAGAGAATTTTATTGCTTCTGAACCATCCAGAACAAAAATAAACATTTAATTTGAAGAACCTATAAAATACAAACAGTTTATAGAAGAAAACTGGGGAGGAGGAAAAGAGCTTTGCCTCCCTCGTAACACTTGAAAAGGAGAGAACAGGTGGCAAATTGATTTGTTTTGAAAATGGAAAGAATTTAGCCCACCCAACAACTTGGCTCCAAGCAGAGCCATTCCTTTTATCTTTTTATGTATTGCACTAGAATGCAATATGTAGGAGCTTTCCAATTACAGCAAATCAATATGTAAAATTCCTATTTTGGTCAGTTCGCTTTTTGCAATCTATCATGGTATATGTTCAAACAAAAATTAAAGCAGGTCTCTTTTTTGTTTGTTTTCCGAAAGCAAACAAACTATAAGGCTTCTCTGGCTATTGAGCAGAAGAAACATATGGAGACAGAATTATCCCAGTGGAGTTTTCTTTGCTAGCAGAAGTGAGAGGAAGAAGCCACAAGATGAGTGTATAAAAACAGCCATAGCGTCATCTAGAACAAGTAAGAGGAACTCGTAGCCAGGGTTCTGTTTTCTTTTAAGGCAAGTTAGAGCATATTGAATCAAATACTATTGTCATAGAAAAAAGTAGAAAACTTTTTCACAGCGTTCATGGTCATAGCTTTGTATACTGAGAGGTGTATTCTTACTTCTAAGCACACCGTTTGTCCCATTTATTTCACTTCCAGCACATGCTGAAAGCATATACTCTCAGTGGGGAACCCTGCAAACTGACAGATTTGAGAAGAGAAATGTTTGATGTATAGAGAAAGCATGGAAGGAAGGAAGAGGGACAGCTATGTGAAACAGAAAAGAATGAAGGATGTGTCTGTTTGCTTTTCTAAGATGCATTTTTTCTGACACCAGCAAATGACATTTCATAACCCCAGAAATACCAACACTAAGTAAAAACCATGTTTTAAGTGACTGAAAGAAGTACAACAAGATTGAGTTCAACTGATAATGTAATTCCTGTGGTTTCAGTTCAGTTATTTTAGGGACAAAATGGTCTGCAAAGTTTTTTTTGTTGTTGTTGTTTTTTTCTTTTAATTTAATGAGAAGTTGAAATTGCCATTGCTTTAATAGTGTCACCACAGTACTTTCAAGGGAACCCATCGGGTGGCTCGTACAGCTATTTTTACTTGTTAATAAAGAGAAGATGTCACATGATTTGCCAGAAAAGCAAATATATTCTTGATGCTTTAACCTTGTTTAAGTTACTTAATTTGCATTCAACACTTAAAGAAACAGCCTCGATCCGTGGAACGAGCAGAGTGTATGTGAGAGTGCCCCATTTAAATTGGCTAGACATGGGCAAAGCTGGTTCAGATGAACAAAAAAGCAAGTAGAAGTGTCATCGCTTCTATATATTTCAGATCAATAAAGCAGAAGAGTGCAGGGGTGAATTCAGAAACACTCCAATGAAGTAGCCATTGAACATGCACAAAATAATGTTTTCATCTTTGTGTACAGAAAATTTGCAGAGTTGAACTTTTCATACTATTAGTATTTCAGTAAGTTGTGATGAATGTGAGTGGGCTTTGTAGACATACGTAGTTTATGACCTGAATTGATTGATCTACACTATTGCTGCTGAATAAAAACATACCTGGGCGTGCAAACCTCTCCCTTTTCCTTGCTATTTCGAGAACAACTAGATTCTAAGAAAATGTAGCCAGAAGTCTTCTCCTCAATCCCAACTTTTGCACTTCATGAGATTTGTCCTTTGAAAAGTGACACCAGCACTTCATGGTAAGATTTGTAGTGCTTCATACACGCTGAAGAAAAGCCAGTGGCACAGGTTCATTTCTGAGAAACACAGTTCCCTCTATGCTTATTATTGATGCTAACAGTCTCTTTTTGAGTACCTGGGAGAAGGTGTAACAGTGAAAGAGGTGGTCAGTTTGCTAACATAGTAACCTGGCACTGACCTCCAATGGAGGTAAGGTAAGACATGTGACACTTTCCCCATAGTAGTGGAAATCCTTCATTGGAGGGTGGAATCAACTGTTAGATGAGATCTGCCCGGCCCATGCATGGTGATCATTGGATGGTGGGGAAGATGCCTAGGTTGTCTGGAAGCATTGTCTAACTGGGATCCTGTTTTCACACGTGTATCTGTCAGTCTGTGAAATACCTCAGAGGTTAATTCTTCCCTTGACAGGATGTGTAGAACAAGGCAATTCAGGACTAGCAAATGTGTTTGACCAGATAAATAGCAATAAATTAAGTTTAGGACAAAGCTTGGAGATACTTTTTGCTTCATGTATTTCTACAGTCACACAGAGTAGGAACAGGGATATGAGTTGCAACCAATCTTTTTTTCCATATGAGTTTTAGGAAACCTAGAGGGTATTTTCATTCTGTGACTTGTGGGTAAAGCTATACCAGAAGGAAAAAGTTCTAATTTAAGTGGAAATACATCAACCTGATACACCCAAAAACTAATGAGTAGTCCCTGGTCAGCCAGATTTGTTAGCTACCAGATTCTAAGATAAGCGTGCCCTTGCAGCTCGGAAAACAAATGGTATCCTGGGCTCCATCAGAAGAGGGGTGGCCAGCAGGGATAAGGAGGTGATTGTCCTTCTCTACTCTGCTCTTGTGAGGCCATATCTGGAGTACTGTGTCCAGGTCTGGAGCCCCCAGTACAAGAAAGACAGAGAGCTATTGGAGAGGGTTCAGAGGAGAGCCACAAAAATGAGCAGGAAGCTGGAATACCTCCCCTAGAAGAAGACAGGTTGAGGGAGCTGTGCTTGTTCAGCCTGGAGAAAAGAAGGCTGTGGGGTGACCTCATTGCAGCCTTTCAGTGCCTAAAGGGAGCCTACAAAGAGGAGAGGAATCAACTCTTTGAAAAGGTAGATAATAGCAGGACAAAGGGAAATGGTTTAAGGGGAAATGGTTTTATGGAGAAAAGGTTTTAAGGGGAAATGCTTTTAAGCTGAAGGAAGGAAGATTTAGGTTGGATGTCAGGAGGAACTTCTTTACAGAGAGAATGGTGAGGAGCTGGAACAGGCTTCCCAGAGAGGCTGTGGATACCCCGTCCATGGAGGTGTTCAAGGCCAGGTTGGATGGGGTCCTGGGCAGCCTTGTCTAGTACTAAATGTGGAGGTTGGTGGCCCTGGCTGTGTCAGGGGTGTTGGAGATTCATGATCCTTGAGGTCCCTTCCAACCCTGGCCATTCTGTGATTCTGTGATGAAAGCAGCTGAATCCCATGGAAACAAGCAGAAGAGAAATCAGAGATAACTGACAGTACTTACAGGTGTCAGAAAGACTGAGGGAATCATAAATCATGAAAAGGGCAAACCATTGAAATCATTTGGATTGTCTGCGAGAGGAATATAAGCAAATATGTAACTTAACTGCCAAATGCAAAGCTATGCTCTTGAAGTCTGCAGGAAGCATGCTTTGATTTTTAAAAGGTCTTTAGGGTCACGGTGATTAATCATCTGTCTAAGTGCTGCAACCAGAATTAAAATGGCAAATTAGATTTCCAAATAGAATTGGATTCGTAGGCGGAAGAATTTCTGGAAGTAGTAAGAGAATTATGTTGCCTGTGTGTGTGGTACTGGGGTAAATGCTGTGGTATCGCCCCTAGTGCAGTTGTCCACAGTTCAAGACAGATTATTATTGTTTAGGAAAGGTGCAGGTAAGCACCTGTAAAGCACCTGAAAGACCAGAGAAGATCAAGTTTAAACATTGAGTTAATACTGAATTGATGACTCAAGAAGTTTGTTTTGACTTACAAGAGAAGTTAGGAGCTGACTTCAAGCTTCTAAATCCTAAAATAGGAAAGAGAGGAATATTCTTCATGCTACATATAAGCTGTCAGGTCTATCTTCTATAATTTTAGAATTAGAAAAGAACCATTGGAACAGCATGCTAAAGTTTGTGGTATTCACCAAATACTTCAGTAGTTCAACATTTTTATTCTAAAGACTGGGTGATCTTTTAAGAAAAGTTTTAATTCAGACTCTCTCTGCTTGGATTTTATCTTCTGGCTTGCTCTATTCAGGATTAAATAATCAACTACCAATACTCTGTACATGTAAAATTATAGATAGTATATATATGCCATGTAGTTTCTACTGACTAGATAGACAATCTGACTAGATAGACAATCTCTAGGGAACCTTATGAGTTTATAATTACAGAACTGTAGTACATCTGTAGATGAGAGAAAATACTGATTTGATTAGAACACATAGGGGCATACCAATACACTCACCCTGCCCAAAAAGCAATATTTTTTTTGTTACTTGGGGAGGTCTGGGTCACTATAAAAATAGCATTAAAAATACTGCAGCTGAGGCACATCATCTTCATCTTCCATCTTGTGCTCCTGATGACATCCTAGATGGTAATGATTGAAACTGTCTATTTATTAGATATGACAGCTTCCACAGATGGGGGTGTTTCTAATTCTAAGAGCAGAGCAGATGCTATGATGAAATGCCTTTAATCTTCTAACCACAGAGTTGTTGCTTTGGTAGACTACCAAGACAGTGGCTCTGTAATCATTTAACACAAGCTCTATGCGGTTATACACCATGTTGTGGTACAAATTTGATCAAAATCAGGCAAGAGCGTATCGACTCATTTCTGCTGTTTTAGCCAGAGCACACAGTGTGGCATTTATGTTCACTTTACAGTTTGGGGCTGGCAGGAAGACTGCATGGAGTTAGAGATGCCTAGACAAAGAATTCTTGCTCTATATTAAATCTACTAGGACAAAATCTCTTCAAAACAATGTTAAAATTCTGAATCAGTTGAGAGACTCTCTACCAGTGTGCATTCTTATGATTACAGAACCTTTGACATCTTGACACTATGTGGACTGAAAAACAGACTCCGTCTTGTCAAACCACAGCTTGAGAGTCAAGCTGAACTTAGAACAGAAGCAGTGACACCAAAGAATGATCTCACTGTGCCTGCTCTCCAAACTCAGCTTGCGGTACTGTCAAGCTCTGTGATACCTTTGAAAAGAAAAAGCAAACGAAGTCTCCAGCCAAAATAGGAACACTTTCAGTAAAATAGCTGGAGGAAAGGGCTGTTTACTTTGAAACTCCTATTTCAAAATCAAGTTTTGTCTCTTTAGATGTAGGCCATTATTTGGAAGAGGTTAAATTCCCTCGTATTTGACCTACATTGAGTTCTGGAATTTGGGAAGGTGCTGTATGAGCTGGACATGCCAATTAAGCATGGTAGTAGTAGTAGTAAATGAATGATCTGCAAGTGTAAATTGCTTCTTTGACATTAGAATGATTCATTTTGGAAACCATAAAGGTGAGTTGGCCATAAGGGAGGTTAGGTCACAGTGGTTACATTTTTCAAATACGGAAGGAGGCATATGACAAAGAACTTTGACATTAACTTAGAAGCAAATATTCCATTTAAAAAACCAACACAATAATACAGGCATCAGTTTGGTCAGTATAGGAAGGGGCTGTGGTAGACTGAATTTTAAGGATTAATGCTTTTCACTGTCTTTTCACAGTCGATTACTGTAGCAAAATTTACAGTGTATATAACAGGACGAACAAGGACTTCACGAAGTCTGGACCGACAGCAGGCTCAGTCTTTGCAGTAGAAATCTGGAATTGCTGACCTTTATGCTGGTAGATGAACTTGCCTTGAGAAAGCATGATCAGGATCTATTTCATTACTCTACGCTTTAGGGGATGGAACAGCCAATCTTCCCAGGCAAGACAGGGTAGACAGGGTCACCTTCTGATCTGCTGAATTTCGCATGACTTTTCTTGCGTGAATCCACAAAGGCTCAAGCCTTCATGTAGCCAGGTCAGTACTGTGCCAACCCCTCAAAGCAGAAAAAAAGACATTATCACTGAGTAGTATTTAGAAAATCATTTTTAGACAACATGAAAGTATTTCTCACAAATATTCTGTAAGTCTGGTGGTCTTTTTCTTCTTCTAGAATGAGATCTCATTCTTGAGTGGTTTTAGAACCAAGTCTCTCATACAGGCATACATAGTATGTATGTACATGGCATATATGCAGCCTGATTTTTTGCTTCTTTTCATAACAGATTGAGAAAATACATAGCAAAAAATACTTCGGGATGTTTTCCATGACATAACACCCATGGTTCCCTCAAGATGTTCCTCTTTAACGTTCTTTAACCCACATGGCATTCAGTGTTTCCAATGACAGACTATTCCTTCATTAATAAAGTGCATAAGTTCCTAGTATGTGCTGTGCATTGCATACAGTGGAATAATCGCCTTCAAACAATGTTGAGGCTACAAAAGCAAGCAATCATAGAGGTAAGAAATGCCAAAATTAAGGTAATGTATGGGAACTTAGGACGACTGTGCAAATGCCCAGACTGAGCTAGTCTCATTATGTGACAGCCTATTTTTTTTCCCTCCTGATTCACTCCAATGAGTGTACCTGGTGCATATACAAGATGGGAAGCTACTCAATATTTCTTCGTATCCATCATTTGTTGAAAGCATTCTTTGTGGCTGACATATTACTCTTTACTTGTCATTTATAGCACTAAAATATAGCAGTCATTCAGCCTGAATGTTGCTTAGTTGAACAATCACATTGACTCCAATCCTCTGATCTTCTCTGCATACCTTCCCTCCCTGGCATGGCAAACCTGTGTTCAGAACTTCGAGGGACAAGTCACGCTCATGCACGTGAATTAACTCATCTCAATTTTAGGGCATTTCCCTGTCGAGTTTCCAAACACCTTTCAAACAACAAGGGCCCAATATCTCTAATAATGGCAAGTGTTATGCAAGCCAAGCCTTGAGATTGCTGTCAGCTTTTTTTTCAACTCCAAACTGCCGGAGAAAGGGGTAATTTGTCTGTACCTCATCAGTATCTGTTCAAGAGCCTTATACCATTGAACTACTGCATGGAGTTATTTTCTCAAGGGAAGTATGAAATCAAGCTTCCCTATGCACTTCAGTTTGAATCCCTCCTTCCATTGTCCTTGGTTTCACAAGACTGAATCCCATAGCATTGTTCTCAGAGAGTGGCAGACTTTCAGCCAACTGCAAGATCTGTATTTTCTCTATGAGCAACCACCTGTCCATACCAGGCTGCAGGTAGAATTCTTTGAGCATGGAAGACAACTCTTTCTGCTTAGTATTGCTATAGCTAGTTATGATGCAGTGATTAAGGATGTCAAGTATTTGACGTGCAGTTAATCACTTTCATAAGGTGATCTCTAGATACGTAAGTCGAACCCGTAATTCACAAATTCTGACTTCTTCTTAAGAGCCACACAAATTGCTTATTTTGCATTGAGTTACAACAACAGAGTCAGGGATAAATAGGATGCTGACATGCAGAACTTTGCAGAACTTCCCTTCCCTCCTAGTAAAAAAAAAAACCAAAAACACAAAACAACAACAACAACAAAAAAAAACAAAGCAGAACAAAACCACCACACCTTGCTAAGCTAATGGGAACAAACAAAGCACCATACCTCAGAGCAGCCCTCAGGCACTCTGCTTGTGCAGAAATCTTTCTGACAAGCCTGTTTGGCCTCTAGGGATGACGTTTGAGCACTTAGACCTTCCAGGAAGGAATGAAGGAAACAAGCCCTAGCAGGTTTCTCCAAATCCAGTGCCTCAATGAGTGGGAGGGAAGTGAATGAGAATGGCCATCTTTGCCCTGAGCCAGTGTTTTCTATGTCAGGATATCAACAGAGCCTCGGTAATCCTTGTCTCCAGGGATAAGATCGATTCCCTCCTAGATCATGGAATGAAAACGTGCACAGCCTGCCTAGTGCTGATAGCGATATTACACATTGATTTGTTGAAGGTGAGGAAACTGCAGCTGCCAGAAAAATGGGAACATCTTTAAATTAAGGCACCACATGGGCCAGGGAAAGTTCTTGCTTAGGGAATGAATTGAGGACAAACAGCAAGAGAGGTACTTCATTACTGATTTTGACAGCTAATTTTCCTCAAGGGTACATTAAAACTTCAGTCCTCCTTTCAAAGCTGGTTCACACCACAGGTGTGCATGGAGAGATTAGCTCCAGCACAGCAAAAACTGTGGTGACCCTCCCCCTCCCCCATCCCAATCCCTATTTTGCTGTGGGAAAGAAGATTTTGGCAGCTCTTCACCTGCTGTACTTGAGCAGAGTGGCATCTCCTTTCACACCTCCCATTGCTTACATGTAGCCAACAGTTCCCAAGAGCAAAGTTTATGTTCAAGCCGGTGAGACTTCTCAGAGGATGTGGAACTCAGTGTTACTCAGCTGTATTTATCTGTTATGGGGAAGGAAGTGGAAGTAATAAAGTGGTGGAGCAGAGCAGCAGAATGGAGATGACATTTCAAAGGAGTGAAAATGCAAATAGGAATCTAACGAAGGCTAGTTATAGGGTTGAAGAGAGGAGGAGTGCATTTTCAGTAGTCATCACGCTGTCTACTCACATTAGAATTGTAGCTATTTTCTATATGCCTGCGTATAGCCTTCCTATCAGCAAAGAAATGAAAAAAGTGTAATGGTTTCTCTTGCACATGTACCTTTCAAATTCCCTCAGCCCCACCAATTACATATTCTTTTCCACCTCATATAAGCGAGGGAATACGAGAAGACAGAAATAAATGAGAATGTAAGACACACTCTTTCATACTCTTTGAATCATCAGACTCAAATGTATAATTTCTGCAGCTCCACAGAAGGCAGTGAAGCTGAAATTAGTTCTTCATGCATGGATTATGGTATTGCGTAGTGATTTTTAGGCTTCCAGAAAACTCAGTATAAATAGTTTATCGTTAAGGGTGAGGTGTTCCATTTTGTTTACTTCTGTTAGAACAAGATATATCAACAGCTGAAGAACATATTTCAATTTCAGTACAAATGAATTATTTTGAAAAAAAGTGTGGAAAAGAGTCAAAAGGTACCAACCTTAGAAGAAAGCAGAAGTCTGGAAAATACAGTAGGGGTGAGGAAGAATCTGCAGTAAAAGAAACAAACAAAAAACAATAGAACATATAAACAAAACAAAAACACACACACACACAAAAAAAAAAAAATCAGCAACCCACTAAGCAAATTAATTACATCTATTTTTATTTGTTAAAACCAAGAGGAAATAAGATATGAAAGGCAGTAGGGGCACCATAAGAGATAACTTTCTGATGGACAATGGCCGATCCAAACTTGCTAATTTGTGTTCTTTGCTCATGTTCAAGTGTTCATCCACTTGTCTTTGCTGTACTTCACATCCATGTCTTAAAGCAAAATCAGGTGGGCTGAATTCTTAGATTCTCTTCCTAAAGGAATAGAAAGTTCAGTGAGGTAGGGGAGAATTGAAAGTCAGTAACCTTTAATTTAGAACAGACTCCAAATTCAGGTGGTTTCATTAAAACGAAAACAAAGCGAACAGATCTGAAAAATCGGATTAGTGGGATAGAAACAAAAACATTGAAACACAGTAATAACTTATTTAAATTAAACGCAGGTACCTAACTGGGCTAAGCTTTTCAGCCACAATCTGTTGTATCAGTGTGCAGATCTGCAGACTGGAGAATTCTGCTGGTTCTAGTGCTTCAAGAATAAATGTCACTTTGTGTCTGCTGACTGCGTCTGAAGTCAATAAATCCAGCTGCTGCCTTTCATGCATGTAGAATGCATTTACATCCTCTCCAAGCCATTGGCTAGCTTGATATAATTAAATGGCTGCATGACACATTCAGATTCTGTTGAATCCAAGCTATCAATTTAAGTATTTATATTGCAGTCTCTCCCTGTTAAAGGAGGAAAGCATAAACAGAAGTATTTCTGAGATGAGTCCCTTGCCATTCTAGATTGTCAAATGTGATGGTAAGATATGTGCCAAATAATAAAAGAAGATAGCAGCTAATTGCAACAAATCCAAATTATTTTAACTTGTTTTGGGAAAATCCCTTATGGGTGTTCTTGGTAGTATCTCTGTGGACCGAGAGGATTGTGGAGAGTAACTTCTATCCTTCCATTAAATGACTGTAACACCTTCATTAAATGGTAATATGTTAGCTTGTCAAAAGTCATCATTCTCATGCTACACAAAAAAACATTCCTTAATGTAATGCAGCACTATGCTGTTATATAGCTCACCTAGAAGGAAGACTCCATATAAACTGTTTGGTGCCATCTATTGCTTTGCATCAGCAAGTTTTCCCTTTTTATAAAAAAAAGAACACCTTGTAAGATGGTTAACATCATCTTTGGAAGAAGTCATAGAATGATAGAACCATTAGGACTGGAAAAGACCACCAAGACTATCTAGTCCAACCTTCAGCCCATTCCCACCGCGCCCATTGACCACATCCCTCAGTGCTACATCTACACGGTTCTTGAGCATCTCCAGAGACAGTGACTCCACAGCCTCCCTGGGCAGCCTGTGCCAGTGCCTCACTGCTCTTTCTGAGAGGTAATTTTTCCTAATATCCAACCTGAACCTCCCTTGGCACAACCTGAGGCCATTCCCACTTGTCCTATCGCTGTTACCTGGGAGAAGAGGCCAACCCCCACCTCACCACAATGTCCTTTCAGGCAGTTATAGAGAACGATAAGGTCACTCCTGAACCTCCTCTTCCTCAGATTGAAGAATGCTGATTCCTTCAGCCACTCCCCATAAGACTTGTGCTCAGATCCCTCGCAGCTTCGTTGCCCTTCTCTGGACAATCTGCAGTGCCTCAATGTCTTTCTCATAGTGAGAAGCCCAAAACTGAACACAGACCTCAAGGTGTGGCCTCACCAGTGCCAAGTACAGAAGGAAAAGTCTGAACAAACCTCTTGCATTGAACGAGTCTTAACATACTAAAGCACTTTTATTTTTCCTCATCTACACACTTCTTTTAACCTAAAGCATGTTTTTCTCTTTTTTTTTCCTCAGCAAAACTTGAATTTCCTTATGATTTTGGGAGGAATGCAGTAAACTGTCTGTCAATAATGACTGTCTCATCTTCATAGTGATGAAAAGTAAGCAGAATTACCTGTCTTTGATTGTGCTCCAACAAATGCTATGGTTTCTTTTCATTGCTGAGTGTGGACATGAATCCTTTTTCTGAGTAACTCCATTGAAGAAGTATCTGCACAACCACGCTTCTAACATGCTGATCCATAACTTATGTCAGATTGTTTGTCGTAGAAGTCGGATGAAAAGTCTTTGGAAGAGGAAATGTTTTTTAGAGAAAATGAATTTTTCTCAGTCACACAAAGAAAAGCAGCATAGATAAATTTGTACTACATGACTGAAGTTTCATCTCATGGTTCACATTTTCTTTTTTTTTTCTAGATTTGACATGATCCTCACAAGAAAGAAAAAGGGAAGATATTGCAATCTACTGCTCACCCGGATATTACAAAATTATCCCTCATGTGTCACGCGGTAGAATGTGGGTGGTATAATTTAGTATTATCTTCCATGGCTATTCTTCTTAAAAACTCTTTCTGCCATTAGTATGGTGTCTAAGCACAAATTGAGTGCCCTTTTTAGCTTGCTATAAAACCAGATTTCTAAGTGCTAGAAGCTTATTTATAAACCATTACATATATTCTCATTTAAAATGGGATTTCCAAGTTTTAGTTTTCTACAAGTTGTAGAAAGAGACATTTCTATTTTACAGGGTTTCTTTTGTTACTCAAAATAATGAGATTGCAACTCTTTGGAACAAGGATTTAAAGCAAAACCATGCACTAACACATAGCTGAATTCTGAAGTTTAAATTAGATTATCAGCACAATTATTTTACAATCCACTTGGGAAAGTAATAGGCAAAAAAAGCTTTCATGGCATTTCACCTTTACATGACTGATGTGGCAATCTGGGTTCTGATTACTTGGGCAACTGATCGACAACTTCACATTAGCCATAACAGAAATGCTGGAAAGAGTTTACAAAAAAAGGAAAGACAAAGGAATAGTGGTAATTTGAATAGAAAAAGAAAAAAATCCAGAACCATGACCAGGAAGTAGTTTTGGAACTTTATTACTAAGTACAAGAAAAAGAAAAGCTGAGCACTGGCCAGCCATTAATTCTTACACTGTGACAGTACAAAGTTGGCACTTAAACAAGAAATGGAACAAACTGATGTCGAGGAAATTTCAGAGCCCTTACCACTAAATCTTATAAAAAGTGCCAGATTCTAGTTGTAGGGAGTTCAAAGAACAGGTGAAAAACATGCAAATATTATTCTCTTCTCACAGTGGGGACGCCTAGAGCTTAAGAAGTTCGTCATGTCTTACCTGAGGCACACCTTACTACTGTGAAAATATATAGTATACACAGTATTTATTCTAAAGCTACTTGATAGTTCTGGCCTAACACCTGGATTTTTCCAATCTTGTAACAGCAATACGATTCGAAGACACTAAATATACATCTATTTCATATTTATGTTGAATGTAATCAAAATTACATTAACTAAGAATATAATTTTCCCTGATTTGAAATTCTGTTTTATATACAGTCTACATAATCTGGGTCCTTCCTTCCTCCCTTCCTCCCTTCCTCCCTTCCTCTCTTCCTCTCTCTCTTTCTCTCTCTCTTTCTTACTTACTTACTTACTTTTCTTCAGTTAAAAATCACTGAAATCTGAAGAACTGAACTAAAATCAGTTTTAGGAAATACTACTTCTCTGAAAGAGTGTTCAGGCACTGGAATGGGCTGCCCAGGGAGGTGGTGGAGTCACCGACCCTGGAGGTGTTCAAGGAATGTTTGGATTTTGTGTTGAGGGACATGGTTACTGAGAACTGTTGGCGATGGGTGGATGGTTGAACCAGATGATCTTGTAGGTCTTTTCCTACTTTGGTGATTCTGTGATTCTTTCCTCCCTTCCTTTCCTTCCTCCCTCCTTTTATTGTTTTTTGGGGGGGAGGGCAGGAGGATGGCATTGCTTTTCAACAAAATCTTGAGAAACTGTTTTTCACCTTGCACCTCTGAGCATCTTTGACCAGAAGGCACAGAACTCTAATTCTAGCAAGTGCATCAGGTCAGTATGAAACCAAGTTTCCATCCCTCTCATGTACTTCCAGTCAGATTGTGATAGAAAACAAAGTAATGGATAGAATTGCATTAGATGCAGTTTTCAAACAGAAAGCTCATATGTAAAGTGTGGATACTCCTTAAGGCATCTGATCGGATACCTCTTGGCAATGTGGCTGAGAATTTAGAGCGGACAGAAATTAAGATACTAATCAGTGGATTAAAAATCCTCTAACCGAGAGATGCCTTATTGCCATTAAAATGTTGCACCTTTTTTGATCCTAAAGGAATTTTCTCTTTTTCTACAGTATAATATTATCATCAGTAATTCCAAAGAAAACGTATACCGTATTACAACTGTTTCCAGATGAACGTGTTTTGTGGAGTAGCAAATAATGAAGAACACAGATGGCCAGGCCCTCTCCATCATTTGATAAGCTAACAATGAAACTTTTAGGGCACCTACAGACAGAATTTGATGAAGAACAAAGAATGGTCAGGCGCTGGGATACACTGTCCAGGGAAGTAGTGGGGTCACCAAGCTTGGAGGTGCTCAGGAGCTGTTTAGATGTTGTACTAAGGGACATGTTTTAGTAGGGAATTGTTGCTGATAAGGAAATGGTTGCACTGGATGATCTTGTAGGTCTTTTCCAACCTTAGTGATTCTGTGATTCTAAAGCAAATTATCTGAGGTCATGGAAGCTGGAGAGCTTGTACAAGTCTATGGGGCCAGATGGCGTGCATCCCAGGTTCTGAAGGAGCTGGCTGAGGTGGCTGCTGAGCTGCTCTCCATCATATTAGAAAATTCATGGCTGTGAGGTGAGTCCCGGATGACTGGAGGAAGGGTCACGTCACTCCCATTTACAAGAAAGGGAGCAAGGAGGACCCCGGGAACTGCAGGCCAGTGGGTCTCACCTCTGTGCCTGGAAAGATCATGAACAGATCATCCTAGATGACATGCTCGACCACATGAGGAATGGGTGTGTGATCCAAGACAGCCAGCACGGCTTCACCAGAGGAAGGTCATGCTTGACCAACCTGGTGGCCTTCAATGATGGATATAGCTCCTGCTATATGCTTTGTTTTTATGGGGGCTGAAAGAGTTGAGTTGAAGGTTCCTTTCTATTCTTGTAGTATTTGTTCTTTATCTATGCTTACTCCTCTCCAAACTCAGAAGCTACTCAGAACTCCTCCAGTTCTGAGTGAGAAGGAACACAGACAGTTCCTAATATCTGGGACAAAAAAGTTGATGCCTATTGCTGAAGATACTATTTCTCTCCATTGAAAATACTGACATTAACATTTAAAAGCACTCAATATCTCAATTTTATCCCTTCTGTGAAGACCACTTACAAAGTTTTTCTTCATTTTACCTATTTGTTTTGTTTAATTTGCAACTAATTTGCACCTAAGCAGTGAAGACAAACGTCACTCCTCTGAGGAGCCCAAAGCATGGAATTTATTTGTTGATCACAGTTAGAAAGTTGAAGAAACTTCACTGTATGAACAGAAAGCTTTTTCATCTTCAAGCTCATCTGCAGGATTCTCTCTTCTTCGTATCTTTGCTTAATATTGTGACTGAAGTAAGGACAACAGTGTCTTTTTTTTTTTTAATATGGAATTTATAATCATTGGAGTTCAGTAACTGAGTTCTTGTGAGATACAACAATATAGAATTACAAGCTTACTTAGAGTCTGTCTTACAAATCAGTGTCATGTTGCTGCTTTTTAAAAGTCTGTGCTGTTGAACACTAACAAAACACAGGAAATATATCCTTTTTCAGGAAATGCTTGCAGTATTGAGTCGATAAAACTATTTCTGTTTAAGAGAATCAGATTTAAATACTCCATTCAAACATGCGTAACATTGCAGCAATAAATGTGATGAGTATATTAATTGACCACTTAAATTCTGAAGGTAGCAGATGAACTAACTATGCTATCTTTCCTCTTCCTGTACATACCGTAATAAAACAGCTTGATGAAGCATTTGCTACTACAAAAATTTCTGAGAAGATTTTCAAGAGATGCACTTACTGTACAATATACCAATTGTAAGCCTTGTGCCATATTGCATAGAATATTGCTATTTTTCTTTGTATATTAAATATACCAATTGTTAGTCAAAAGAAGGGAAATGGATTTAACTGGGCTTCTTTACGGAGCATAATAGGCATAAATTATGCTTTTACTCATTCACTAACAGAATTGCTGCTGTACAATTTTGAATCCTGAAACATTTCATTTTAAATTCAAATTTAAGTCAAAAGTATTGTTACTAAACTGATGAAACTTTCAATCATAACACTACATTTCCTCTTTTTTCCTCATTTCCTCTCTTCTCTTGTCATATAATTGAGTACAATGCAGGCTGGATTCCTCATTACAGCTCAGCCTTGATGAAGGGAAGATAAAGGGAATGTCATACTTCTATCTCCTGTTGTTAAGCCTGTGTGTTATTTACTGTAGCCATTCTTCTTGCTTCATCTTTCTTGGCTTGTTCTGAAGGATGGTTCTGGTCCCACTTACCGCTGCCTGCACTCAGCAAGCTATGAGAAAAAGAAATGAAGAGCAAAGGCATCAGATCTATGGCAGCCAGGGAGCTTTCCTTTTGCTCCAGCTACTCTTTGCTGATCAGTGCAATCACCTGTATTGCCCCTGCAGGGCTTTTCCAAAGTTAACTCCAAACATCCTCTTGCTTTGGAGAACCTCAACTTCCAAGCAATATTTTCTGCTTGCGTCTGTCTTCTGTTTTGCTTCTCTCCCTTTCACTCTGTTTTACGTATTCTGACACAATCCAAGAAAACAACAGATGGCAACTTCATCCAAGTGGGTGTTATCCACTAGGGACTGCGAAACAAGAGTTCATTTTCAGTTAACTTCCTGCTTTCAGGTTAAAAGCAGTAAAAAGATGAACCTACTACAGTCCTCTGACCAACACGAGTCTCAAAAATAAGTTAGAACAGAGTAGCTGGTTTTGTCATGGGAAGATCTGCCTTTCACTTCAGTAAATTGGGACTGATGTCTGCCCTTAAACAAAATTTTAGTTCTAATCTTTATTGACTAGATTTGGATTTGGGATTTCTAAGGAGCAATGCATGAGTAGTAGCAGTGATAATATGCTCCACCACGAGAAACAGATGGTGTAAAAGAAAAGCAGCTGAAGGAGAAGGTAGGAAAAATCTGATAAAAAACAGTTCATGGATTCAAAGCCTTGGGAAAGAGGAAAGGAAGATTTAAGGAGAGAAAGATCAGAAAGTAAGTGTAAAGAGGAAGAAAGGAGAGTAAAAAGAAGGAAGGAAGGAGGAAAGGAGGGTACAGAGTGTAGGAGGGAGTACTCAGTACTCAGTCACATGCTGGTTTTGGTGAGTTTCTATTCCTGATACCATTTGCACTCCTTAAAAATGTCAGGGCTTCCAGTTCTACAGGAGGAAAAAAAAAAAAAGAAGTGCTGTAGAAGAGTTACAAACAATAGCACAGACTTTTACTAAACTTCTTTGAGCGGAACTGGGACAATATCAGTACACTGTCTTTACAAGAATATAGGGAAAAATTTTCCTTTCATTCCTTGGCAAAAAGTAACCTTTTAATGAGTGAAGTAAGAGTAAGTACTTCAGTATAAATGTGGTAATTAGCTGTGAAACGAGGAAGTAAGCACATGAAGCACCTGAAAATTTAGCATGTCACTAATGATGTTTCAACCTTTTCGTATTTTGTTAGATCTGCTCAGCCTACAGCTTTATCAGTACAGAATGTTACAACTGACGTAATGAATGGCTGTTACTGAACAAAAGGGGTACATACTATCAGAAATAATATCATAACACAGTAAAAATGCTGACAAAAAAAGCAAAAGTAAATGATAATGCAGGGATAAAGAGGAAACTCAACTGAACTGCAACACAGAACATTTATGTTGACTCCATTGAAAAGGTATCAAAAACCATACAAAAAGGAACAATTCAAATCAGATAAAGAAGAAAGTAATGTCTGGGTCTGAAAGGACTGTGTTGGGTTGACCCCAGCCAACAGCCAAACGTGTTGGTCAACCTTGTTGAAGTAGTACATTGCTAAATAATTGTTTGCAAACCTCTGAAGATATAAAAGCAATCTGAAATACTTCTGTAATTAAACTTGTTTTACATTGCACATTCTTTCTGTCAAGAAACAGTAGGAATCTAAATGATGGCTCTTTCACATGGACTTGTTAATAATGAGAAATGCTTCCAGAACCAAGAAATAGGCTTCATGAATTACAGATGTCACACTTTCAGTAGAATCACTTTTCTTACCCAACATAATTAGCAGGAAATCTAAAAATTAAAAGAGATATTTGGATTTCCTGACACTGGCAAGAAAGAAAGATAAGTAAGAAAGCTGAGTAAATTAATGATAAAAATATATAAATTGTTGTGTTTAATTTTGCACAATTCTTCTTTCTTCCACTTCATTGATTAACGTGACTTCAGTGCAACGGTTTCTTCAGTTTGTCTCCCTCTGGTGGATTACCTGTTCTGTGTATCAACAGAACCTGTAATCTTGATTCTTTCTTTTTCTTCCTCATTTTTATCATGGTGCTACATTGTTATCACTATAATTCAATAATCCATATATAGTAACACCCCTATTCCAGCCCTAATTACTTCACTATTCAAGCCTGTGTTTGTTCCTGTTCCCCTGTGTATCAGTTGTCTGGGCTATAAGTCATGCAGTGTTCTCAGACCTCCTCACTTGAAATAAATATCATTATACCATATTGTTTTTCATTGATTCTTCTGTCTCCCAGATAAGCTCAAAGAGGGGCTTAGCATGGGGTCAGTGTACAGCAGATTTTTCGGTGTTCTGATTTGGGATCTGGTTGAAAAAAATTAGGCTGAGTAGACTTAAAGTCAGGGACAGTAAAATCATGTCACAAATTTGGAACACCTTTTCTGAGCGATTATAATCTTTCAGTGGCATAGATATATTCTAGTGGTTGATGGACAAAAGATAACATGGCCTACTCCATTTTTTAAAATGATTCCTCTGTAATTTAGGTAAAAATAAATGCATATTGAATTATAAGAATGGAATCTCTCCTGGACCTGATGGTACTGACAGTGGCCGCTGAATATTTTTAGTATTAATGCCAAACATATTTGTGACTTTATTTTATAGGCGAGGGAAATTTTTCAGGTTCTCAGATGAAGATCTGAAGGAGGAAAAGCCCATCACTATAGTGGCTTTGGCACTTCCATGGCACAATTTTTTTTCCTTAGAATATGTGCAAACTGTACTGCTGATTTTCCTTTCTTTTGTTCTATTGAAGTGGGACATTAAATAGATTCTGTTATAATTAAGCAATTAGCTGCACAGTTAAGTCTTCAAGTTAGATAAATGCTGTGAGCTGCACTCAATAGCTGCTATTGAAGTGACACTCAGGTCGCTCATTTCCTGTTCGTTAGGACCCCACCTTCTCTTCTTCAAGTGCCCTCTACTACAAATGGGAATAATAATTAAGAGTAACAACTAAAACTCACAGTTGAGTTCCTGCATGCTGAGTGACTGAGCCAAAGTCCTTTTACTTGGGCATTTTGGTTTCCAAGGCAGTGAGATGCTTCATATCCCAATTCAGAACAAACAGAGGAGCTCACCTGTGTTGACACAGGAAGGGATTTCAGATGCTGATTTACTGTGAGGAATAGCACTATCACTACCTACCATACCATCTTCTCCCATACAACACAAATTAACTGGCTAGACTGTCAAATGACCTTGCACAATATGTATCAAGGCCAACCACTCTCAGTTCTTACAAAACAAATCCTTCTTCCCATCAGATGATTTATTGTGCTGCATGGACCAGTTCTGCTAACACCTACTCACATGAGTAATTGTATTTATTCTTTGAAATCAAAGTTTGACTGACTAGTTGTATGCAAACTGGGTTAAGCTCTCGAATTCTGAGTTTTTGAAGGCATAACTGCATTTGACATGCTTTCAGACTACTTTGCTGTACTGTGAAGTGAGAAAATAAATGAAGGTAAGGCATTAGAGAAGTCCTTATATTGACCTTTGGGCAAAACTAATGCTGAACACTGAGAAAGGAATGGTGACTGAAGAATAGTGTCCCCAGTGTGAATGAAAGCTCCACAATCCCATTTAAGCACCCTTAGAACATTAAGCCATTTAAGATATTAGCACAGCAAAACACCATTGTTCAGAAGAGCAAGTGAAAGCTGAGATGGGCTGGGTTACTCCTTCCAACACAGATAGATGCTTTATTTCAATTTTGAAGACTTATTTACAGATATTTGAGATCTTCTATTATTTAGGAGGCTCCATCAGGGACTTTAAAGGTGTTTGCTTTAAAAAGAAAATAATCCTACAGCCACTTAGAAAAGAAAGAAAAAATCCAGCTCCATACTAGCTGAATTTGTACTGCGTTACTTTAATCTCCTCATAATTACCATCTTCACATTTCTTTCACTTTTCATAAAATTGAATCTTTCCAGACTGATAAAATTACGTAGTTAGCTACAGTACATCAAAAGACAGCAGCTGAAAGCAAGTTGCGTATTCACTGAGTGTAACTCTGGTTGATCTAAAAAGAAAGAGATCTTTGTACTTCATGCATTTTCTTTTGGAAGCTCTCCTCACTTCACAGAATCAGAGAACTGTGGAAGGTTGGAAGAGACCTCAAGAGATCATTGAGTCCAAGCCCCTGCTAAAGCAGATACCCTACAATAGGTCACACAGGTAGGTGTCCAGACAGATCTGGAGTATCTCCAGAGAAGGAGACTTCACCACCTCTCTGGTCAGCCTGTTCCAGTGCTCCATCACCCAGGAGTAACCCAGCTCATCTCAGCTGTCACTTGTTCTTCTGAACAATGCAAAGGTACCCACAGTTAGCGTGGTTAACATTTCTAGTTTTTAATTTAAAAGGTTGCATTTGAACTGAGAGGCACCACAAATAGGTGAAGCAATCAGTTTCTGTAAGGTTTGTCCAGTTTGTAAGTGGTATTCCCGCTTCTCTGCAAGCACGAAGAGAATTCCTATCAACTCAGAGTTTCCCTGCAGGATCTGTGTTAAATAGTCTTGTCTAGAGAAAGCAAAGATTGGACTTCTCTTCAGATATGTACTTTATTAGTATAACATATGAAGGCTGGTGGCCTTGCTTGCAGAAGGGGGGTTGGAACTTGATGATCCTTGAGTTCCCTTCCAAGGCAAGCCATTCTATGATTTTATGATTCTTTATGAGAGACGAATCAAACTTGTTTATGACCTTTTCTTTTAGAAAGAAAACCACATCATAGCCTCATGACAGCTGGTTTTGTATTCTTTTGTTTGTTTGTTTTCTTAAAGTTGATTCTTTAAATACAGATTTAATCAATGTTCTGTTTAAAATTCCTGGAAAAAAATGATCATCTTATTCACCTTAATTTATATTAAAAACAAGAGATTTATATTCAAACAGGAGATTATATCAATGCAGCTCTGTGCAGCATTTCAAATCTCAGACCAGGTCACAGAGCCATTTTAAATCTGTATTTCTGTGCATGCAGAGTCTGAAGATTTTCATTCAGTATTTATGCAGTGTTAATGCAATGGTGATGTGCAGGCTTTTCCCAGATGACAGCACAGCAGACATAATTTTGTGCATTTTTTTCACTTTCACGAGGTCAAGATGTCAGGCAGTTGATTACAAACCCTCCTGTTGGTTGGGCCCAGAACATATACCAGCAGAGTATTTGCTGGCAGCTCCTTCCAGCAAAGATTTAGGATATTTGTGTGGAAATGGAATAGTTGGGTGCTCACCTCAGCCTTTGCTCAGGGCTAAATCTGTCATTGTATGTCACCCACAGCTCTACTCTGTGACCAAGCCAGGCAGGTTGATGACTTATTTTGTGAAAATAATGCCTGCAGAGAGTTCAAAGGTTTGGGAATAAGGCAGCAAGTATTTACATCTTTTGGGAACGTGTAACCCCCACAAGTGGCCTCGGTTCCTTCTGAAGTCACGTTGCAAGTTCCACAGCCAGAGTAAAGCTGATTTTTGTTCTTTAAGGGCAAACGTGAACCTGTGAGATTGCCTCACAACTCTGGTTAATTTAAATGACCTTTGTGATGCACAGAATTAGCCTGACAAGGACAATGCTGAATTATAGGGGATAAGATTAATCCTGCCATCAGGAACTTTGGCATTTATGATGATGTTATCTCAGCAGCTCTTGCTGCCTGTGACCCTTCCCAGATTATTCTGTGCAATATCTCATAGATAGCAAAATGCAATTTATCAAGACATAAATATTTGGAAAAAAAACACAGTGTTCATAACTTAAGAAAAAAAGGCAAACATCATTTCAATATGAAAATGGATCAAGATTTACTTCAGGTAATCTGAGATCAAATATTTTGCTTAACTCTTAAGGTAATTGCCAGAAATTTGGGTCTACTCTTGAGCTGTGGACTTAGGAATTTTTTTAGGATATGGATAGATGGCACTCTGGGGGAACTACTGAATTTTACCAAGCTACTCCCCATCCACCAGACTAACCCACTTTGTGTACAGTTGGAGCTTCTCCTAAGGACAAAATGAAATACTAAGGACAAACCAGTGGAGTTTATTCAGCTGATATTTTGTATCAGTGTTTGAAGCCAGCTGTCACAAAAGTTGGCTTATGGTAAGAAGGCAACATGAAGGACATGAGGAAGGACATTGGAAATGTCTGCCAACAAGCATATGTTTGATGCAAGTGCAGCTAAACAGATTAAGCCACAAATGATCTTATACCCTATGTTGGTAATTAGCACACACATCAGTGAGTTCCCTGAGGTGTAGTAGTCAGTGCTTAAGTTGCTCTTGAACAGGAGAGACAGGATCTTGACGAGTGGTTCTTCCAGCTCCCTCTTTCTGAAGTGGTCATTACCTTTTCCCATGTTAGCCCTGTGCTACATACTCGGTCAGTCCATCAGCTCTCTCTCTCTCTCTCACACACACACACACACACACACATAAGTAATGCTTGCTAGACTTTCCCAGGTTACATATATCTGTGAAGACAATGAAATCAAGATTTCTGATCATCTCACTGATTTTGTACAAAAGCTTTCATATCAACAGTAGCTTAATTTCAATAACCAGTAATATACTTCAATACTACGTGTCAGCAAAAGATCTGCACCTAGCTGCAACTGCCAACAAAGAGAAAGCTTTAAATAACAGATAAATACTGAGGAGCGTGTGCTGTATCTATCAGCAGCAGAACACTGAAGGCTCCAGTACCTGCAGACTGTGATGGCCACAGTGCTTTCAGCCTGTTTTAACCTCATCCTTCACAACTTTAGTTCATGTCCCATTTTGCTCTCATCCTACCTAGTACATAACATTTTCTAGTGCTTTCACATGCTCTCTTTCCCCTTAGAGCTCCTTGTGCTCAACTCATCACTCTTTAACAGTCCTTTCAGGCCTGGCTCCTCATCCCTCTGCTTCCCCAACCTAGGGAGAGAAGGAGGAAGACTACTGAAAGCACATGAATCTCTTTGCCTGCAGTGCTCTCTGGCTTTGAAGGAGAAGTAAGAGGGGTAAGTCTGGCTCAGCCCATGCAGTCAAACCCTACATCTGACTTCTTTCAATCAGAATAAGACAAGTTAATTGCTGAACTGTAATGAATTGTGTTTCTCTGATTTTCAGAAGCTCACGATTCAGCAAAAAATGGGGTCATCAAAATCAGCTTTCTGAAACCAGAATTGCTCTCTTAGCAAAACTCTAATTTCTGTTCTAAAGCACAGAAATGGTGAAGCTTTTAGTATAAGAGCTATTTTCACATAGGTAAAACCAGATGCAGATTTATCAGCTAGGATGGAGATTTCATTCTTTCCAGTCTCTTCCTTGCCCTTTAATAGGATCAGAAAGGTTGTATGCATTTCCCTCAAGTGATGGGGCTGCTGATTTGTATAGCCTTCCCAGTAATATAGGGGTTACAGCTGCTATTGAGAAAAATGTTTTTTTTTTCTTTCCTGAAAAGTGGCTAAGCTATTTTTGTTCAAATTTTCAAAAAAAGCCTTCAGCCTGAGGCAGAAATTCAGCATGAGAAATTTCTGTGCAAATTATTAAAGAATGGTGGAGTTACAATCTACTGAAAACAGATGAGTTTGGCATAAGAAATTACAGATGCCTTCACTTACGGCCTTCATCCTCTGTGCATTTGTACAGTACACATATATGGATATATATCTGTGGTATATGGTATATATATATATGTGCATATGGTATATGCAGTACCATTCAACATGGTACTTGCTTTTCTTACCTTCTTTGTTGCTTTTAAAAATATGAACAGGTTTTATGACTGCAGTAATGTTCTGTGAGGAACGTACTTCTAAGTATCTTGAGGCTGCTAGGTCAACCTGAGGTGTTTCTAGTGAGCAATCAGATGGCAAGAAGCTCCTCACCTCGATGTCTTACAAAAAAAAATATATATATATTAATAATGCCCTTCTCCTTACTGGTTGTAGTTCAGTGTAGCAGTGCAAACAGCACAGCATAACGTGCAAAGAGATGGCTCTGAACAGACACTGAGAAAGCTAATGGAGTGAATGTTAATTCCTTGAAAGATGTTGTCGTACAAACAGAGCAAAAATCTTTCAACACTTAACCGAAGAGGTGGTAATTATGCATTCTTCATCAGTGGAAAATCTGTGATAAACACTATTTGTGGTACATAACCTAGCTTTCACTCATGCCTATTTTTTAATAGTGCAGAAGAAAAAGGTTAATGTACTAATAATCAAGAGATGCACAGAAAGAAATTGCCAGTGAAAGCCAGTTTAGCAAGAATCAGGAGATAAGAAGAGAGTTTACAATAGTCTTAGTATGGCAATGTTGATTCATTCTTAAAACCAACTTAGATTAAAACAGAGGACAAATTTAGGGTTCAAGTCAACACAGGAACAGCTGTGCACAACAAATTTCATTCGATTTATATTGTTCCAAATTGATTCCATACAAGAGAAGCACCTTCTGGTGTTAGAAATACTCTCACTATTGTAAATCAAAGTGGTTCCATGGAAATTGGTACTTAGATTTGTTCAAAACTGAGATAAGCCAAAAGAAAACAAGCCAGCCTCTCTCTCTCTCTCTCTGTTATCTAACACAAGCCAGCAATGATTGAACACAGCTCGGGAAAACAACTACAAGTTTTAAACTAAGGAAATGAATTCTGCCTGACTAAAAAGAGATACAAGGTTACCTCTTGAGCTAGGGAATGAAAATTTTTGGTGGGTGAGGCCTGTCTCTATGGTTTGCCTCTCTCTCTTAACATTACCAGATGGAACCCACAGCACTGGAGAATGGTATGGACTCTAATAGACTTCTTTCTTTGCCTCTTTCTGGCCATAGTTTTCAAGGAGTTTAATGACAGACCTATATTCTAGACAAAGAGATAACAATAAATAAAAACTGGTTGACTTACTCACATTCTTTCAGTTCATCCATGTCACTTAGGTAAAAATCAGGCCTCACAACCTTCAAAAGATTTCCTACAAACTTCAGAGAAAGCCATGGTTTCATCTCACTTGTGTTCTATCTGGTTGTGTAGGAGAAGTGACTATAAGTAGGAAAAGATGATGCATTGTTCTTTACAGCCTGCACCTGTGTCTAATTTTGTCTTGCAGCTACAGATCTGCACCAAATGACAGCTACTGCAGAGAAGAGTCTGGAAGCTGTCAACTCATAGAGATACTTTCTGAGCTCTTGCTCCTTGGAATAAGTTCTTTTCTGTTTAATCAAAGGAAAATTATTTTTGTTCAGAAACTTCACGTTCCAAATAAGAATGCTGTTAAGCCAGGGAATGAAAATATGAAATAGCTGTTTGTTACCAGTGTTGTAAATCATCTGGGAAAGCCTTGCCAGCACACCAGATGCAGACTGCTAAATCCTTCCACTTCATGACAGGACTGAACTACTTATGGAATCGTGCTTTCAGGAAAAAGGAGGGAGCAAGTACCATGTATGTAAAGCATATACATTTGCACAGAACTTTCAGTTATGGTTTGCAAGTGAAGCAGATGCTATGTTCAAGCAATAATGTAACATTGTGGAGCAGGATAAAATTTCACACGTGGATGTATACATATATATAAAAGAAAAGGCAGCTTCTATACTCTCATTTTATTAATTTGTACTGATTTTTTAGTGGTTAATAACTGACAATATGGCATAAAAACAATGCAACATTCAAGTTACACATCTGATTGCTTGCGTGTGTATGTATATATATATATATACACACATATACACACATACACTCAATAAAATATCTGCTCATAATTATGCAGAGAGATGGCAATGTTCCCCTTATAACTTTTTCAGCAATAGCTTGACAATCAGTAAAGATAGTTTTCTTATGCTAAAATGGAAAGTCAAGGCTGTACTTAAAGCTGAATTTAAAGTTTTGGAAAAGCTGACTAATTTAGAATCTTAAGATAATGTTTTAAAAGGCAAAACATTTCACAGATACGTGACTCAGAAAGAGCTGAAATGTAAAGCATTTAGCTTGACAGGTGTATATATGTACAAATACAGTGAGGATTTTTAAAAAGGCTGAAAGTACCTGTACAAAATGTGGAGAAATCTTTTTGTTTCATAGAATCGAGTTGGAAAGGACCTTTAAGGGTCATCTAGTTGAACTCTCCTGCAATGAACAGAGACACCTACAGCCCAGTTAGGTTGCTCAGAGCCCTGTTCGGCCTGGCCTTGATTGTCTCCAGAGATGAGGCATCCACCACCTCTCTGGGCAACCTGGACCAGTGCCTCATCATTCTTAGTGTAAACAAAAACAGAAACAAAACAAAACACAAAAGAAAGGGCATTGATGAGATCCCCCCTGAGACTCTTCCAGCTGAGCAGGCCAGACTCTACCATCCTCTCCCCTCAGAAGAGGTGCTCCAGGCCCTTCATCATCTTGGTGGCCCTCTATTAGACTCCTTCCCATATCTGCTCATCATCTCTCCTGTCCTGGGGGGCCTGGAACTGAACACAGTAGCTCACATGCTATCTCTGACCTTCAGCATTCAAGATTTCAGTTTACAAGAAATTAGGACAATGTCTATAAAAGGATGTTTCAATTTAGTTTAACATGTCTTAGACCCAGAAAGGAGGTTCAAAAACCTACATTAGGTACTAAGAAAAGAATTTATACACAGACAACATGCTAGCCAATGGGAAACACTCATGTTTCCCATCTCACCTCATCTCATCATTCTGAAGTGTTTAGAGCATAATGTTGAGCTGCAGAAATGTGTATAGGACTAAATACTGGTAACTCAAATCATCATTTTTCAGGGCTTAGAAGTCTAACTCGTCTATGTTTAAACAGATTATCAAGTTATTCTTCAGCAGTTGTCCTTTGGGATAACTGTTCAGTGCTTAAAACAGGCAAGAAATGGGAAATTTATTGGAGAAATAAATCCGAGATATCTAAAAAACTGAGATACAGATAAAAAACCTGGTGATTTGACTCCAGTTTCAACCTTTGGTTGGGCTCCCTCATTATCTATCTTCTTTTTTATTAGTGCCAAGATCCAAGACGCAAGTGGATTTTCCTTGAAATTAGTATTTTTTGTTGACACTGGAGCCTAATGAAAGTTTCAGGCTGTAATGAATTATTCTATTTTACTCTCAATCTTTTAAATATATTCAATGTGTAACTTCAGTTAAAATAAGAATAATTTGATCTAAATTTTCATACCACATTATGAAAATCTCAAACCTAAACTGTGTATAAAATATCACTTTCCAAGAATTTGTCTTAAATGATAAAATTAAAAACAATACAATTTTTTTTTCTACTAATATATCAAATATGTGGTCCTGGGACAACAGAGCATATTAATACAGCATGTTGTGACAGAATTTAAGAAATTAAAATTAGAAAATATCTATTACATGTAAATTTATTTCAGCAGCTGCTGCCCATACTTTGTTTTCTGGGGGGTTTTAAGCTTCTCCAGTCACGGGGTTCAGTCACTTTCATATAAAAATTGTGTCTTTCTTACAGATAGCACTCCAACCATCCTTACTGAACTTAAACCTGCCAGCTGATACGGCAATAAGTTTGGTGAGGTTTTTTTTACCCCTTTTATCACATAAATTCTCACTTTTCCTGCTTAAAAGCTTCAAACTTTAAACTGTTCCTCTATGAAACGGTAAGATGTGGTCAGCTGCTTAGAAGCAAAAACATAGGTTATGTCCTCAGACTAGCCTTGTCCAGTGTTTTATGGACTGCAGTTCTGTGTTCTGAGTTTTTACACACAGGAAGGCCTCTTAAAAGAAGTTCCTTTCCAATGGGACACAGAGAAGTGAATACACCTCAAATATGAGGAGAGGCTGAGTGACACTGGGCTGCTCGGCTGCAGTAGAGGAGGCTCGGGGGGGGTCTCATCAATGCCCATAAACGCCTGAGGGACGGTGCCAGAGGCTACAGCCAGACTCTGTCAGTGATGCCCGGTGCCGGGACCAGAAGCCATGGGCACAAACTGGAGCACAGAAGGTTCCCTCTGAACACCAGGAGCCCTTCTGTGTGTGCACTAACAGAGCACTGGCACAGGCTGCACAGAGGCTGTGGGGTCTCCTCCCTGGGGATCTCCCAGAGCCACCTGGACATGGCCCTGGGCACCCTGCTCTGGGTGTCCCTGCTGGGGCAGGGGCTGGAGCAGAGGGACGCTGAGGTCCATGCCAGCTTCAGCCGTGCTGCGAGGAGTGGAAGGACGGTGATGGCACAGCTCCCCAGCCGCTCAGCTCCCCGCAGGCTCTGCCCGCCCCGGCCGCCGCCCGGCCCGGCTGCAGTTTCCGGTGGGACTTTGTACGGCGGCGCTTCCCTTCCCCGCCTCGGCCCGGCGCTGCCCGCGGCCATGCAGTCGCGGGTTCTGTGCCTGGGCGGCGGGGCCGGGGCTCCTGCTGCGCGCAGGGTCCGCCTGCTCCTGCGGCAGGTGCTGGCCGGCGGGGCGGCCGCGGCTCGGCCCGGCCGCCTGGAGGTGCGGGCGCTGCACGGCTCAGGTAACCACCCCGCCGACACCCGTCCCCGGCTCCCCTCGGCCTTCTCCCCGTGCCGGGCGCGGTGCCGCGGGGTTCCTCCGTGCGTGCGCTCAGGGATCGGCGCTGCGGTGCTCAGCCCCGACCAGCGGGGAGCCACGGAGGCTGCCGGTGGCCCTTTGGGCCCGCAGCTGTCCCGGCTGCGGTATGGGCCCTGCTTGCCCTTACGTTACTGGGTGCCGTATGAGATGAAGGGCTCGGTGTTCTCTTCCAAAACGTCTCGCCCGCAGAGACTCAGCCCCTGCTTGGGAGCATCGCTCTCCTCAGTCAAGTTAGTTCTTGCAGAGCCGCCGTTTCTGTGCTTTGTGGCTGGTGTCAGGGCTGCCGAGGCAGGTGGTTCAAAAAAGGATTCCCATCAGCGGTGGCAGTGAGCGTGCAGCTGACCTTGAGCAGTGTGTGTGCTGGGAAGATGACCCGGGCTGCCCCGGAGTGTCCTCTGATGCCCTTTGGGCCTGAGCAGAGCAGAACTGCCTCTCAGAAGTGGTGACATATGCCCATGGTAGCTGGCACTTCTCGGGATGAAAGCCAGAAGCATCAAACTGCTAAATATAGAGTCTACAGTGAGCAGCTATGAATTAAGGAAACAGAATGCTGCCAAGGGATTCTGGTGAGGGGTGCATTCTGAAGGCCCCTTCAATGCCATTTACTTCCATTTCTGTTGTTTGACTTTGTTCGTGCCTGGTATATGTATTTGCTTCCTTCACGAGGAGCCTTTGAAGAATAGATAACTGTGAAGTTCTTGAAAGAATTATTGAATGGAAAGTATTTAACTTTTAAAAAATACAGAAAGAAAGCTGGGGTTATTTATTTTTAAAAACAGGAATGAAAAGGAACAAAGTAACAGTTTGTGAAACAAGTGCCTGATGATGAGAGGTCAGTTGTGGTGACTGACTTGGCGAACAAGAAGTTCAGTGAAATGGAAGTGCGTCAATAGCAGAATTACTGAAAGCACTTCCTAAAATTCAGTGTTATGGGATATAACTGGATGTGAGCATGCTGTATGAATAATGAAAATATTCCCCGTTACACTTAATAGTGGTAGTAGTTTTGTTAGGAAGATTTAAATCTCTTGCTTCGAAACTCCAGACAATCTCATAGCTGTTAGAGACAGGAAAATGGATGCTATCAGGATTGTTTGCTCACTCAGATACTGACCCCATTTATTCTTAATTTTCTGGGTTTTCTTTTCTTAATTTTTATTTTTTAAATCTTATTTAAAATATGCTTGCCTGTCATCTTACAGGCCCTGCTGCTCCTCTTGGCTTACTGAGATCTGAAGAGCTGATCTGAACTTATGTATGCAATATGGATTTCTGATATTTCTGTGGGGCTGCACTAATAGCAAGACTTGATGTTGCATGTCTCTTTGCTACTGAAAAGTAAACTATTTCTGTAAGGGCTGGAAGCTGTTAACAGTCATGCAAAGAGCAAATTGTAGAGTGTGCAGTAATTTGGATCTGACATCCCTGCCAGATCTGATTTACTCTCTGTGATGGTAGTTTTTAAGCGTAAGGGAGGAACTGTTGTCTGTTTTGTCCTGTTTTATGTGAAAGAGTCATGCTCAGCAATTTTAACTCTGCCTTTATAAAACAGATTTGTCTTGCTGGTGCACAGAAGGCCACAGAAGAACTGCTAGAGCTATTCAGTGGTAAAGTTTGAGAGAAATCTGAAAGGCAGTGTTCATGCTGTTGTTGGTTGCATCCTTAATTGTATTTATGGACTTTGTGATGGCTGCAATTACTCCAGTGATCTAATTTACTGCAAGGCCTTATGCTTGTTGCATCGGTGCAGCTGAGAAGGCAGAAAAAGTAGATGGGAACTTTTAAAGCCAACTGTCCCTGGAAGTGTATAGAGTTATGCCTGAGTTATGTAAAACTATTCTAACATTTAAGAAAGGAAGGTGGCAAAAACCCCGATGTCTTTTATTAGACTCACAGATACGGCTGGAAGAAGGGGATGAGCTGCCAGGCAGATAAGTTTCTGAGTATTTGTGGTCTTCAATAGGGTTTCACAGTTGCTCCCATGAGTAAATGTCAGTAAATAGCTTCCAAGTTTTTCTGTTTGGCAGGCATTCAAAATTTAAGCTTTCCTGTTTAGCAACTGTTACAGTCAAGGCACCTGTTGATGCCCATTGTAATTGATGAGGCCGAAGTCAAACCTGCTTAGCAAACTCAGAATGGTTGCACAGGAAATGCCACAGTGAATTTTGAAGGCTGTTTCATCTGCGTTATTATCTTTTAAAAGATAATCTTTTAAAAGAAGTTTCAGTATTTAAGAACTTTTCAAAACAACTCACTATTTATTTTAAGTCATAGTTTCTTTTTAATTGAAACACATTATTGACATTTTACTTGATATCTGTGCTCTGTTTAGATTAGTTTGATAGCCTGGCTTTTCTGAACTGAGCAAATTGTACTTTAAGAATCTTTGTACGGTTTTAAAATGTTGTGAGCTGGTGTTCAGAGAGCTAGCAGAAGCTTCCCATTCCTGGGCCCTCACACTAGTGGGGGATTTCAACCATCCAGACATCTGCTGGGAGGGCAGTCTGGTATTTGCATGAGTTTTTAGTAATTTCTAGACAGTGCTGGTAACAGTTTTGCAGTATATATGCCAGAGAGCCTAGCCAAGGGTAACATTTTGTCTGCTGCTCACAAGTAGAGGAGAACTGACTGATTTGGTTATAGATGGTAGCCTGTATCTCTGGGGCCATAAAATGACTGAGCTCAGAAGCTGGAGCAAGGCTGGGGAAGGTGAGCAGCAGAATTCAGATTCTAGGCTTGGAGAGCACAGACTTCTGCTTTTTCAGGAGACCTGCAGGTAAAATCCTTTGATAACAGCCAAATGCCCAGGAGAGGGGGACCATTTTTAAAGAAAACTTAAAGGCAGCTCACAAACAGATAATCCCGTGGTGTAGGATATATCCCAAATAGGAAACACTTATTTGGTGTTTCAGTAAGAGGCCTGGTTGGTCAAGCGGAAAACCTCACAATGAGCTAAAACACGAAAAAGGAGCATACAGAAATGAAATAAGGACAGGCAACAGAAAAGGACTGTAGGAAGTACCATGTGCTATGTAGGGATGAAATCACTGTGCTCTGCAAACTGCAGGTCTTAAGTCCGGAAAGGCCTTAAACTTGAGGTTTGGGTCCAGAGAAACCTCCAAAAGTTCAAGGAGTAGTGTGAAGTTCTGCCAGTTCTACTTCAGTTTTACTGTGTTATAGCACTACAGGCTGGGAAGGGATTGGCTGAGGAGCAGCTTTGCTGAAGAGATTGAAGGGTTGTGGTGGATGTGCGGTTGAATGTGAGCCAACATTACCCTCATAGCATGAAGCAAACGACAGGCTTGGCTGGATCAGGAGGAGCAAGGGTGGGCTCATCTCCAGAATGCTCTACAGAGGTTCCACCTGGAATGCTGTGTCCAGTTGTGAGTTCCCTTTCTAGGGCAATACTGAGAAACTGAAGTCTGTTTCAGGGCTATCAAAACTATTAGGGACCTGGAGCACCAGATGGTGAGTAGAAGTTGAGGGAGCTAGGTTTGATAGTCTTGCAAGGAAGGGAGAGGAAAAGAGGAGAAGTCTGCTTGCAACTTGCAGTTAGGGTTACAAAGATGAAGTCTAACTACCTAATAGTGGCAAATAATATAGCAAGAGGCAGTGCTTACAAATTGAGGCTTATAAGGTTCAAGCTGAACAGCAGAACAAACCTTTTTGCTAGTAGAGTAGTGCAGCAGGGCAAGAGGCTAAGTGGAGAGACTGTGGAATCTCCATCCTTGAAGGTTTCTGAGACCAAGACAGGGCCTTGGACAATGTGATCTAGCCTTGGTTATAAGCTGAAGTTGAGCAGGAAGCTGGAGAAGATTATATTCAGAGTGCCTTCCAGCCAGTATTTCAAAGATTGTTTGGTAATTGATTTTAGCATTTAGGTTAGCATTTTTCTGATACAGTAAGCAAGTTACTAAGATATATTCTGAAATTTGTATTTCAGGTATGTGAGAGCATCGTAGCATTAGGCGTTTTAAAAACTGAATAATGTATTCACGGAAGTTGAGGAAAAAGAATTTGAAAGCTTAATTTTTGTTTCATAAAGAAAAAAGTTGGCACTTTGAGGATGGGCCACCCGTGTGCTCAGGTGCTGGATAAATGTCAGATGAAAGCCTTTTTCTTTTCTTTTTTTTTCTTTTTTTCCTTCATAATGTATTGAAATTAAAACCTGGAAATACGCAGTTGAATATAATTTAGAAATCAAACTGTTTCATTCTAACAGATGTGATCTAATCCCACAGAAATTAATGTTAGTGGAGCTTAGCACCTTCACGGTTTTAATGTGCTTTTGCTGTTTTTGGCTTTTGAGTCCAGATGGATGGTCTGCATACAAGTGGATGTGTAATACGTTAAGACTGCTGTTGGACTGTGGTAATCTCACATATGTTCAGGACTAAAGAGGCCAAAAGGCAGTCGTCTTAGCTGTCTAAAAGCTCAGCATTCCTCAAGCTTTGTTGTAGCATCTTGTAAAAACCTTGATTACAGAAAGGATTTCCCAAGAGGTTGGAACTGTTTTGTGCAGAATTCTTATCCAAAGTCTAAATACATATGTACAGCTATGTAGTGTGTTCTCATTTGCTGTGAGTTTCTTTATTTAATACATTAATATATTTCCCCTGTACTCAGCTCTGGTGAGGCCGCACCTCGAGTACTGTGTTCAGTTTTGGGCCCCTCACTGCAAGAAAGACAGTGAGGCCCTGGAGCGGGTTCAAAGGAGGGCAACAAAGCTGGTGAGGGGTCTGGAGCACAGGACTTATGAGGAGTGGCTGAAGGAGCTGGGAATATTCAGTCTGGAGAAGAGGAGGCTCAGGGGAGACCTCATTGCTCTCTGTAACTGCCTGAAGGGAGCTTGTAGTGAGCTGGGGGTCGGCCTCTTCTCCCATGTAACTGGTGATAGAACTAGAGGGAATGGCTTCAAGCTGTGCTAGGGGAGATTTAGGCTGGATGTTAGGAAATACTACTTCTCTGAAAGAGTGGTCAGGCACTGGAATGGGCTGCCCAGGGAGGTGGTGGAGTCACCGACCCTGGAGGTGTTCAAGGAACATTTGGATTTTGTGTTGAGGGACATGGCTTAGTGAGAACTGTTGGTGATGGGTGGATGGTTGGACTGGATGATCTTGTAGGCCTTTTCCAACCTTGTTGCTTCTGTGATTCTGTGATTTGAAAGGGCTATTTATTATTTTCTTTCTTATTATTAAATAGTAATTGAGATGTAATCAGTCTCTCTTCAAATATGGGCAGTGTCGCTGTAAATAATTTCAATTAAACAACAATATCTTTTTCTTCTCACCACATAGAAAAAGACAGTACGAGTAGAGAATGTTCCTTGTCTTGGGAAGAGAAGAGGAGAAGAAGGATAGTTGATACTTGCTGAAGCTAGTGTTACCATTTAAGTGTTTTTTGACCAGAACTTTGGCCTTGGAAGCCAAAAGGGCCAACCTTGCCTTGAGGTGCAGCAGGTCC